TTTGCAAGCTGGTTGCCCTGGCCATCATCCTGCCAGGTCACCAGGCAAACTGAGACCAGATCAGCTAATTCCTCTGCTGTAAGATCTGGGCGAGTCTTCGCTGCGCGAACCATTTGTTGCACCAGCAAAAGCCCCTGAGCAGACGCGGATGACCCCCGGGGGGCCCCGGAGCATGGGGCCCCACAGGGGGACGGTGATTACACACCGGCTCCAGAGGGGAAGACAAAGGAGGCGGCAGTAATTGAGGCACTGGGGGCGAAGCAGGGGGAGGGATGGCTGCAGGAGCGGATGGGAGTGGCGAGATCGGCAGCCCCTCTATTGGTGCGGGAGAGGGTCTTTCCGAGGCGACATGCTGTGTCGCATCGCCAGGCGGGGGGATGGCTGCAGGAGCGGATGGGAGTGGCGATTTTACCAGCCTCTCTGTTGGTGCGAGGGAAGGCCTTTCCGAGGCGACACGCTGTATCACGTCGCAGCAGAGGTGCCAGGCATGTAAAGCCTGCACGGGCGCCCGAGGCTCTTTTTGCAATGTCTGGCCCAACTGCTCCCAGTCCGCTAGCTTAAGGGTTCCGGCTTCAGGGTACCACGGGCATTGGGCACTCACCTCCTGTAGCAGGAGAGTGAGTTCTCGAGTGGGGCAGTCATGCTGAACCTTACGCAGCAAATACTGTAGCTCATTGTGGTGTTGCACTTGCAAAGCAGAGAGGGAGCTTCCCATACTTACCACAACGAAAAATACTCACCGGGATCCGCGAAGCAGATGAGTGATGCGTCTGAAACCCTTGCCGGGCGAGGTGAGTGCTGAGGGCCCCACGTTTGGGCGCCAGTTGTTGCGGTTCAAATACAAGACAGCACAAAGCTTTAAGCAAACAAGCAGGCTGGTCTGCCGACGGACTGCTCCTGTCAGCTTTCCACCCTCTCCTTTATTCTTTCTCTCCCCCCGCGCATTACATTCTCCAACAGATAAAAGGAATACACTGGCTTTGTTTAACATTCTTATTTACCAATTTCTATCTACCGCATTCCTTGCTCTCGGGCCTTGAGCCCAGTCCTGGGAGGCTTCCCACGGTTCATGTCATCTGGGCGAGATTCCAAGGTTCATGCCCTTGAGAGGAGCCGTGTGTGCACTGCTCCTACACAACACTCCGGGTGTGCCCTGAATGTTGCCAAGTGCATGAACCTTGCATGTATGTTACAGGGACAGAAGAAAGGGACATCATCAATGGGTGGGCAAACTACTGCTCTGATCTATACAACCACCAGACAAATGGAGATCCTAGTGTCTTGGACAACCCAGATTCAACAGATGAGGATGACTTTCCAATACTATGTGAAGAAGTGGAGACAGCTGTGAAATTACTCAAGAATGGAAAAGCTATAGGTATTGACAACATCCCAGCCGAACTGATGAAATTCGGAGGAGAAATAGTAATAGATGTACTCACTAAGATCTGCAACAAGATCGGCAGACCGGTGAGTGGCCCTCCATGTGGACACAGTCACTAATCATCACTCTGCAAAAGAAAGGCAACCTGCAATTGTGTTAAAATTACCGGACCATAAGCTTAATTAGCCATCCCAGCAAAGTGATGTTGAAAGTCATATTGAACAGATTGAAGCCACAAGCGGAGAATATCACCGCTGAAGAGCAGGCTGGCTTTCGTGCTGGAAGAATTACCACAGAATAGATTTTCAACCTTTGTGTTCTATGTGAGAAGTACTTACAACACCAGCAGGACATCTACTATGTCTTTATTGACTTCAAGGAGGCATTTGACAGAGTATGGCACAAAGCTCTCTGGGCAACCATGAAGAAGTACAATGTTGGTCGCAAGCTTATTCTTACCATTAAACAACTGTATGCTAAGGCCAGCAGTGCAGTTCTCGTCAATGGCACAATAGGAGTGTGGTTTCGCATCACTGTTGGACTCTGGCAAGGCTGCCTTCTTTCGCCCACACTGTTCAATATCTATTTGGAGCGCTGTCGTCATGGAACTTAAAATTAGAAATTTAATTTTGTTCTTTATGATTTCCTACTAATTTAAGTGATGAATTAATGTGTAGTGCATGCTAGTGCACACTTAGTATGTGGATTGCCTGACTGTAATTTAAACTATAGTCCATTCATTTAGTAAGCAAGCAGTGAATCCGAGTTTCTGGCATGCACTCTATAAACCATACAAAGTTGAACTGAGACCCAACTAACTGGCTTTACTATGAACTCATGAAAAACACTGTTATGGGCAAGATCTGTGTATAAACTTGGGCTGTCAGAGGTTAAAGGGTGATTTTATCCTCTCCCGCTCCTCCAATATCTTTGTTTATTGTAAAATCCAGAGGCCAGATAATGTGTTGGTATAAATCAATGTAGCTCCACTGAAGTCATAAATCATTAATAAATAGCCATTCTAAGTACTTCCCTGTGCTGATTTACTTTCTGAATAAATTAAGCTTTTATCTTTAAAAGTTTGTGTTTCTAGCCCTTATGGTTGCAAGGAAAAGGTTCTATCTATGAACCAGTCTGCAGAGACCTAGCCTGAAACAATTTCTCTGGGTCCATGCTTTGCAGCATTTACCTTGGAAAAATTCCCATTGAATACAATGAAATTTTTGCTGGTGGACGTAGTGCAGGATTTAGCTCAATAAGAGAGATGGATTATTGCCATTCAGTTCCATGGTTACTGCCATTATTCAGCTCCATGGTTAACTTGGAACCCCATGATATCAACTTGAATGCCAGTATGTGTAGCTGTTTCACTGCTGGTAACTTTTGAGCAGGATCATCCAGTAATATTGGGCTGTAGGTAGACCTAGGGCAAGGTACCATCAGCCTCCCCCACATTTTCTGTTTCCCTCTCTTCCACCATACTCACCCACACAACCCAGGCAAAAGAAGATTGTTTTGGATTGGTGGAGCTGCTTTCTTCTTCATTTAAACTTTAGTATTTTATTTCAAAACTAATTATTATTTTTCAAATGCCCAAAAATGTGTGAGAGGCACCACAGAACAGTTAAAGACACAAAGCTTATAGTCTGCCAGTAAGCACACCTATTACACAACAAGTGATAGTCATAGACAGACCAAAAAGAGGGGGACTAAGATAGGAAGGGCAAAGGAAACTGATGAGATTATGCGGTTACTCAATAAGGCATGTCCACCCTTACATCTGTTTCAGAGTAACAGCCGTGTTAGTCTGCATTCGCAAAAAGAAAAGGAGTACTTGTGGCACCTTAGAGACTAACCAATTTATTTGAGCATGAGCTTTCGTGAGCTACAGCTCACTTCATCGGATGCATACTGTGGAAACGGCAGAAGACATTATATACACAGAGACCATGAAACAATACCTACTCCCACCCCACTCTCCTGCTGGTAATAGATTATCTAAAGTGATCATCAAGTTGGGCCATTTCCAGCACAAATCCAGGTTTTCTCACCCTCCACCCCCCACCCCCAAACTCACTCTCCTGCTGGTAATAGCCCATCCAAAGTGACCACTCTCTTTAAAATGTGCATGATAATCAAGGTGGGCCATTTCCAGCTGTGATAAGGTCAGGTCTCGTGTCGCGCTTATCAGAAAATTGGCTAGAACATCATGGGGCTCCAGTCCATGGACCTTATGAACTGCAACAATTGCCTTGGTATATTCTGCAGCTGAATATTGTGCACCAGTACGGTCTCATAGTAGTCACACTAAACTCCTTGACACTCAACTCAATAATGCTATGGTCATTATGTCAGGGTTGCTCAAATCCACGCCAGTGGACTGGGAACCAGTCCTATTGCACATCCAGCCTCCACAGATTAGAAGAGCTGCTCAGACATTTTGCTTTCTTAATCATGTCAATGCAAAAACGAGCATCCCACTGCACCATGACCTGCAGAATCCGCCAAAGATGAGATTAAAATCACGCAACCCTCTATGAAACCGTATGAAGATCCTTACACCCAACTTTGATGCTGAGGCTCAATGGAGAGTCACATGGAGCACTTGACCACTCAAAACAGCTCATCATTTATGCTCTTGAGGAACCACTGTGTTTTGATTTATGTCAGAAAGACTGGTGCAGATTGAATCGCATTAGGACATCTCATGGGAGATGTGGACAAACGCTCTTTAAGTGGAAAATGAGGCATACACCTGTATGCGAATATGGTCACCAGGCACAAACAATAGAGCACATCATATCTGAACATCCCCTTCATTCTTTTGCCGAGGGCCTGAAGGACATTCATCAGCTCACTGCTGCGGCAATGTGCTGGCTATCAAACTTAGCAACAACTACGTATTTATATCTATCTACCCAAGCCATATGGAAGAAGAATAAGAATCAATCCCTTCTCCTTTCATTTCTCCTTCATTGTGCTCATGACCCCCACAACTCACAAGAGCTAGGTAGATTTCAGCCACTCCTCATCCTCTGGATCCTTTCATTGGTCTTTCTAAAAAGAATCCTTGTATGAGACAGAAGAGGACATTCCTCTCACTGCCTATAACATTGCAGCTAAGCAGCTGGGACACTAAGCTGTGCTCCCCTTATCAAGTCACCTCAGTCCCAAGCCTCACTTCCAGCTATTGGGGAGGAGGGAGAGGAAAATATATCTAGAAATAAATTATTAAAGAGAACATCATTTTACACAACTGGATTCCTGTTATAAATTAACTCTTTGGGTGAAACCATGTCCCCATTGAAGTCGATGGGAGTGGTGCCATTGATTTCAGTGGAGCCTGGATATCACAGCTTAGGTTTGATTCTCAACCTCCTTCCCCTGTGTGTAGTAATTTACACCTGTGCAAAGTGGGTGATAGGGTAACATAGAATTGTGTAAATGACTATATAAGATGCAAGGTAGTGGGGAATCAGGCCCTTCAGGTTTAAGAACTGTGGTTAGGGGGTAAATTGATACTGTAGAGAATCACGCTTCACTCAGTCAGTTAAACTGTGGTGATGTGTTATATCCAGTGCATATAATGTGTTTGAAATCTGCTTCCATTTTACAGTGATTATAACAATATACAGGCAGCGTACGACGCCATGAAGAATGTAGCATGCCTCATCAATGAGCGCAAACGAAGGCTGGAAAGCATAGACAAGATTGCATGCTGGCAAGTGTCTATTGTTGATTGGGAGGTAGGTGTCATTCTTCCATTTTCATGAAATATTTAAAATTAAAATGTACTTAAATTACTTCTGGGGGAATCTTTCTTTCTATGGTAGTAGTTTATGGTGCATACATTTCATGTGGTCCTTGTTCAGTTAAAAGTTGAGTTGCTTCATTTGCAATGACTATTATTGATTATCTTATCTCTTACTCAGAAAGAGCAACAGTTATAACACGCGTTTGTATCTGTGAGATTACAAAGACATGTTGAAAGAGAACAAAATGTATTTTCTTTTAGGTTGGGACCATTATATCCCATTCTGATTTCTTGATAGTTCTACACGCGGGTAACTCCATTGACTTCAATGAAGTTGCACCTGGTTTGCACTGGTGAAACTGAGAGCAGATCAAGCCCATAGTTTTTGTGAATATAACTTGATCTACCTTTTATATTTATAGATTTTTTAAAAGGTTTATTGAAACAGAAGTACAGTTCTGTCTGTCGTATGACTAAATGCTACAAAAATAATAATTAGTAATATGATAATCTCTTAAAACTGTGTATTTATTTATTACACATACACTTCTATATATTTTAGGGGCAGGATGTTTTAGCCAGAAGCTCAGAACTGATCCACTCAGGCGAATTGACCAAAATCTCAAAGCAAGGCAAAAGCCAGCAGAGGATTTTTTTTCTTTTTGACCATCAGCTTGTGTTTTGTAAGAAGGACCTGCTGCGAAGGGACATGTTATATTACAAAGGTCGGATTGATCTGGATGAGATGGAACTTGTGGATATTGAGGATGGCAAAGATAAGGACTTTAACATTAATATCAAGAACGCTTTCAAAACTGTGAATAGAGCAACAGAAGAGGTTCATTTGTTTTGTGCAAAAAAACAGGAAGATAAGAAAAGATGGTTGGAGGCATGTGAAAATGAAAGGCGAAGAGTGCAGGAAGACAAAGAAATGGGTGAGTGCAAAGATTTACAGTGTGAGGGAGATTAAATCAAAAGGCAAAGTTTGGATTTCTCTCCTTTTTGGCTCTATGCGAATGGGTTCTCACCCTTTTTGGGCAGCTGTGCCTGTTTACCAGACACAAACTTCAGCTATACAAGCAAGTGTCTGTTGTTTCCCATTCAGTTGTGTCAGCTCTGTGATCCTGAAACTGGGGATTGGAGCGGCCATGGCTCTGTGGTGGGTTACATCTTGCACAACACAAGGAGCAGAAGGCAGGATTAGTGCACTAACTGCAGCACAGACTACTCATCGAGAGCAAAAATCTGTCCCCTGCTGAAAAGCTTTTTGGAGGGAGATTCTACAGGGATGGGGGAAGGAATGCTCACTATTTGGTCATGGAGCATCAGTAAAACTGCCCCGCAGCCACTTTTGCAGCCCTAGATCAACAGTAGCTCCTTAATCCCCATTCTGTGGCCTCCCCCTGCTCTCCCGCTAGTCCTCTCAGAGCAGGTATGCAGCAAGAGGCCCTGTGTAGCCGACCTCTAGTGTATGGGGTGGGGTGGAATCCCTCAAGTTCCCTCTAACTGCATAGTAGAACTTTATGTAGTTCTACTGGGTTATTGGGGGCCTTCCACAGCTTCAGAGATGTGAGAGAATTCACCTCATGAGCGGGAGCTTAGAGTGCCAGTAACAATAACCTGACAAACCAGTACCAAGGGCTTGTTCACAGGTGAAACACAACAGCTGGGGTCGGCAACCTATGGCATGCATGCCAAAGATGGCACGGGAGCCAATTTTTAATGCCATTAAAATTCCTGCCTGGCCCGCCCCACTCTTTTCCGCCCACCGCTCTCTCCTTGCAGGGCAGGCAAGCTTCCCCCTTCCCCACCTCTTCCCCCAGTGTACTGGGTTCCTGCCCCTTCTTCTCTCCCTCCTGGCCGCTGATCAGCTGACAGCCCTTGCTATGGAGGGGGAGAGGGAAAAGTGGAACTGCAGCACACTCTCTGCTCCGGGGACCTTGGGGAGAGGGGTGGAATCAGGGCGTATCACTTCCAGCCCCTTGCCATGAGCCGCTCTGGGCAGGGGGCTGGGAGCACCCCCTCGACCCCAGGCACACCCCCAGCCCTCTGCCCTGACTCCTGCATCCCCTCACACACACCCCAGCCCTCTGCCCAGACCCCTGCACCTCCTCACACACCCCCAGCCCTCTGCCCTGACCCCTGAGCCCTCCTCACACACACCCCTGCCCTGAGCACCAAACGGGAGATCCTGCACACACACACCCTGCATTCCCACCTGCACCCCTCACACCAAATTGGAGCTGCCCAGGTAAGCACTCCACACCCAAACCTCCTGCCCCAACCCTGAGCCCCCTCCCTCATTCTAGCTCCTGGCCAGACCCTGCACCCCAACGTGCTCCTTCACCCCCAGCCCTGGTCTCAGCACACTCCTACCCTCATCTCAGTGCAGAGAGAGGAAGAGAATGGCTAGAACCAGGGAGAAGGTAGGCACCTACTCTATGTGGACAGGGCCAGGATCCCAGACCGGCAGCGGGTTGAGCGGGGCTGGCAGCCGGGACCCTGGCTGGCAGGAGCCGGTGGCCAGAACCCCAGACCGGCAGCGGACTGAGCGGCAGCGGGCTGAGCCGCTCAGCCCACTGTTGGTCTGGGGTCCCGGCCGCCGGCCCTGCTCAGCTCACTGCTGGTCTGGGGTTCTGGCTGCCGGCCCCTTGCCAGCTGGGGTCCTGGCCGCAGGCCCCGCTCAGCCTGCTGCCGGCCTAGGTGAATGGAACCCCAGGCCGGCAGCGGGCTGAGCGGGCCAGCAGTGTAAGATCAGCATTTTAATTTAATTTTAAATGAAGCTTCTTAAACATTTTGAAAACCTTGTTTACATACGAGAATAGTTTAGTTATATAATATATAGACTTACAGAGCGAGACCTTCTCAAAAACATTATATTATTGGCACATGAAACCTTAAATTAAAGTGAATAAATGAAGACTCGGCACAACACTTCTAAAAGGTTGCTGACCCCTGCACTACAGCAACAGCACTGCAGCTGCATTTCAGTGGAGACGCTGCCTATGCTGACAGGAGGGGTTCTCCCATTGGCATAAGTAATCCACCTTCTCGAGAATGGTAGCTAGGTCGATGCAAGAATTCTTCCATCGACCTAACACTGTCAGCACCCAGGGTTAGGCTGCTTAACTGCGTCGCTCAGGGGTGTGCTATGTAGCAGGGTTGATCTAACATTTTAGCATGGACTACACCTTATATGTGAACTAGTGGTTGGCAGCCACTTTTCTAAAGAGCATTTTATTATAAAGCCAAGCAGTAGTATCCTTAGGTCTGTGCAACCAATGTAATATAGCAGCACTTAGCCAAGTTACAGAGGAGGAAAGGCCTAATCATAAGTGAGGAGGGGAATGGGTAGGACCCTGTATGTCTGACATTGGATAGGGCCTTGCAAATCCTAGGGCCAGCTTTGGGCCAAAATGTATCCTGTGAGAGTGTGCATTTGGGATTTTAATTTAAAATTATGCCTGTTTCACAGTTTAATATGGGCATAACAACTTCAGTTTAATAAAATTAATGGTCAAAGATTCAGCAGAACTGCACTGAGAAAATAGAGACATAAGAGGACAGTGGTGATAGGAAACATAAAACTGATTTTTACATTCCTAAGGCAACAGTGGGAGGGAAAAAATCCCTGCGTGTGTGTGTGTGTATAATGTATGATGGCTGCTCTCTGTTATGACATTTATCTTTAAGGGGGAGAGATGGGATAACATTCTTCAGGACTGAAATGGCTCTAAATGACAGCAAATTAAAATCCAAAGTGCTCTGAATGTGATTTCCTGGATGACTTAACTCACTAGTTATTAAAACTTTAACATGATTCATAGCCTCATATTCCCAACCCATCAATAAAGTTGGAGCAATCCCTATGTACACTGAGGCCGATTCTGATCTCACACCAGTGCAACCCCATTGACTTTAATGGACTTCCTTTTGATTTACACCAGTGTAATTGAAACAAGAATCAGGCCTCTTGTGTATATATTATAGGTAGTGATTGTTCTCTGTTAGGCCACTATTTTCTCTCCTGCTGAAAGACTCAATAGTTTATGGCTCTAAAGTTATCCTTCTCCTTATTCATGAAAATAAATGTCATGAGCGATCAGTTGTCCCTCAACAACAAAAACACTACACACACATACAACCACGTAATGAAAGAAAAAGTCAAGAAATTACCAGCTAATACTCCAACATCAGCCTTAACTTTCCCCCATGGACCATATGTTACAAGTAGCCAAAGGCAGCTGGTACCCAAAATAAATGATGGAGCTGAGACAACTAAACAAACCACCTTGCAAATTAGTTTCCCTATTCTCCCTTGCTCTGCAGTGCACTGGGAGCCTATACGCCTGTGGGGCACCCCAGCCATTGTTTTCAGAAGCAGCTTCTACATGGAGTGCACACACTGCCCATGCACACATTTATCACTATTGAGCCCATCTCCAGACTACTGAATATTAGCCCAACAGAGCTCTAAAACAACATGTGCATTGGGGCAGGATGGCTGACTGGGAAATAGAAGAACAGTGTAGTGCATTTGGGGACTAATATACAATCTATCCCATTTATCACAACAAAATGACTCAAACTAGCCCAAGCTGTCCAAAAAATGAGAGGGAATAATAGTGAATAGACTGTCACGTAAAGGAGCAGGGCTCCCCTGTTTACAAAACAAAATACAACATCCCCACCCTACCCCAGCCCCCACTTAATTTCCAAATTCTTGATGGGCCTTAGCTCCATTAAACCTGATGACTGGCCACATTGCAGTTGGGGATTTGTGAATTGGACTGGGCAAAAGGAGATCAACAGCTGATCTTTGTCCATCTTTGGACCTTTCCAAGGTTCAGTTAACTCCTCCACTTTAGCTTTGTGAACCAGGATCTGAGCTCTTTACAGTTATAGCAGTTCCTTTCCAGGGGTTCCACAAAAATGGAACCAAGAGAGTATGCAGGATGGCCCATATTTCTAAGAAGTAGCTGTGTTAGTCCCAGGATATTAGAGAGACAAGGCGGGTGAAATAATCTTTTATTGGACCAAATTCTGTTGGGTAAAAAATAAAAAAAGCTTTTGAGAGCTTGTCTCTCACCAAGCAGAAGTTAGTCCAATAAGAGTTATTATTTCACTCACCTTGTCAGCCCAAATACTACACATTTTGGGGATTTTGAAGCACATACTAGTGGACCCAGACAGTACTGGTATCTGCTGTTGCTGGTGCCTTCTGCTGCTGGCAGAACTATGTACATTTCATCAAAACTCTGATGGTGGGAGAGAAGGTTTGGAACCTTCCTACAAGAAAACACATGGGTGATTGGGTGCTAAACCTTCCCCGAAAAGTAATATTGCAACAAAAATAGCCACATAAAAAGTCCTGAGATTAGTAAGACTGAGGAATACTATTCTAAGGAAAGTTGCAGCAGCCAAATCCCTGAATTGTTTATTTTACATTTTATACTTTAATGTATAATCTCATGATTTAACTGGCAGTGGGAACTATAATAATTAAGATAATAACTTAGCATTTATAGAGGGCCTGATCATGCATATCTTATAGTCCCAACACTTCCATTGTATTCAATGCAAGGAGTGCAAGTTAGGGCTTTATATCTACAAAACATTGTACAAACAATAACTAGTGATGTGTGTAGCAAATAAAAACAGAATAGTAAGAAGTAAGAAAATATATTTTCTATAATGTTAGATTCATAAATCCAGCTTTTTACATCACTGGGTATGTGTGTGAAATGTAAGCTGCTGTAAAATATCTTTTATCAAACATTTCAAATGCTTGTTCAGACCAGGAGCACCAGAAGCTCCCTAGAAGTTGGAGGAGGTACCAGTGTCTAAAACATGGCCCTGCCCCCGCTTCGCCTCTTACCCCTGAGGTCCCACCCCCCATTGCTTGTCCTTAAGGCAGGTAAAAAGTAGGAGGCCATAGCCCTCCCACTTTTAAAAGTGATGGGGCCATGCCACCTGGCCACCCCATTCCTGCACCCATGGTTCAGACCTAGTAGTACCCCATGTTATATAGATATCTTATGCTATAGAAGGGATGGTTCAAATTTAATGTCCAAAACCACTTCATTTATGTTGCTATGCCCTCGTAAGTCTCTATGGCTTGGATCTCTTCTTCATTACCCAGGAGAGTTTGTTTTCTAAAATTTCACTTTTTTGGCAAAGTTGAACACTATCCTTTAGCCAAAGCCAGTGGAAGACCTCTGGTATTCTCAACCTTGAACATCTTGTTTGATTTTGTAATTTATCATGCTGGAACTCAGATGAAGACTCTAATTTAAGTATTCAAGGAACAAATAAATCACTCTTCAAATTCTAAAGCTTGAATGACTAGTTCTGTTTTCAAAGACATTTCAGTAGAGGTCAGAGTCTCCCAAACCATATCCAACTCTTCTGAGCTATTCTGAGTGCATGCTGGGAACGGGCCACAACCAGCAGCTCTTTCTCCAAAACCACTAATGGTAGATCTAAGAAAACAGTCTGCTTCCTGCTGCTGCAACTTTTTGATTTCTTTGGCTGCTTTTTTGTCTCCAGGAAGAGAAAAAAGAATTGAATAATTACAAATGAAATAAAAGGAGTAACCAGTAACTGAAAGAGTATGGCCAGATTATATTAAAAACAGTCACTCGAGGGATGTAACTCCTCCATGAACACAGGCCAGAAAGTGCAGGGAATTCAAAATAATTCAAAAGTGTAAATGAAGAGCAGAATGGAATCCAAGTGGCTGCTTTGTTGGGTCACCTGGCTTTGGGTTGCAGCACTTTGCAGTCCATTGTATATATGAAAATGGAATGAGAAGCAACACACACACACACCTTTTTAGTTGTGCTAATATAACACATTCATGTGCTGCAAACAATATGCAGTTACTAGATGAATCTCACACATAGTTGGGGATTGGTCCTGCTTTGAGCAGGGGATTGGACTAGGTGACCTCCTGAGGTCCCTTCCGACCCTGATATTCTATGACAGGGAGAGGGGACTAGAACTTCAGTACTTGAACTCCAAAAACATAGTCCATTAGATGTAAGGAAAAATTGCTCTAGCTACATTGCCTGTCCTCTCTGGGAGCCAGCCTCTCTCAGCCACATTGAAATCCCTCATACACTTAACACTACTACAATATGATGGGATAACATGATTTTGACAATTAATTGATCTTTAAATATTCATGGTAAATAGGCCCAATGGCGTGCGATGGCATGTTAGAAGGGGTGGGATCTGAGTTACTACAGAAAATTCTTTCCTGGGTATCTTGCTGGTGAATCTTGCCCATATGCTCAGGGTTTAGCTGATGGCCATATTTGGGGTCGGGAAGGAATTTTCCTCCAGGGCAGATGGGAAGAGGCCCTGGAGGTTTTTTGCCTTCCTCTGTAGCATGGGGCATGGGTCACTTGCTGTAGGATTCTCTGCTCCTTGAAGTCTTTAAACCATGATTTGTGGAATTCAACAGCTCAGACATAGGTGAGAAGTTTTTTGCAGGAGTGGGTGGGTGAGATTCTGTGGCCTGCGTTGTGCAGGAGGTCAGACTAGATGATCATAATGGTCCCTTCTGACCTTAATGTCTATGAATCTATTACAGTAAATTGTTAGGTTAGACCAGGGTATCATGTAACATGACACTGACCATGTACATGTGTAAACAAGTGTATTTAATATCCCTCACTACACTGACATGCATAACACACGCCAAAGAAGGCTACAAGGTCATCTTGCAGTACTGTACAGCAGTTAAAAGAAACCACCACCTAGTTTGTTCAAACTGAAGACATTAAATTTTGTAAAATGCCAGTTTAACAGTGACGTAGTTTGAAATTCATTCATATTCTTAGAGGAGCTTTTCAGCTTTTAAAATATTCATTTTTATTAAATTTGGATCAACATAGATAAAATGCATAATACAAATACAGTAAACACAGGAAGAGCAAATATTGGAGTGTTGGTCTGAGGAAAGTGGGTTCAGTTTTCTTTTACAGAATACAAGCAGGATTATGTCTATACATACTGTGACCTTGCTTTTCTCTTACCAGCTTTACACCAGTATAACTCTAATGACTTCATTTAGATATCCCAGGTTTACCCCAGTGTGAGTGAGAAGAGAATCAAGCCTTGTATTTATCTCTCCTAGCAATCCAAAACTGGTTTGTGGATCCATTGGCCCCCAAAGTGTCATAAATCCACATAATCTCCCTAGGTGTTAGTTTGCTTTGTCATCACTAATTTAGCTGTCAGAGTTGTAAAATGAGGTAGCTAGTCAGTTCCCCAAAGACCACCAGCTGGAGATAATTATTTCAGCACAGGTTGGCATCAATTTGTGCTCAAAGGGCCAAATTAGTATCTCAGTTATGCCAGTGCAATGCCAGAGTTAAATTGGAGAAACAGTAAAATCTGGACCAGTATTTCTCAAAAACATATGGTACATTACTAATAAGAATTATTTAAAAATCACTGAAGTATCATTTTAAAAGTGTTTGCTCAAATGTTTTTTAATTTACTGTTATCAAATAGCAGATACAATATCTTAATACTGAGACCCTCATGTACTTTAAAATCCAGGAATGGAAATCTCAGAAAATCAAAAGAAACAAGCCATGCAAAATGCCAGAAGATCAAGGCATGGAAAAATTAAAGGTGAGTATTTAAGTACTACTGTAAGTTTTAAATATATTATTTAATTTTTCTAGAATTCAACACTATTGATTTAAAATATTCCTTGGACCCAGATTTTGTTGTGTTCAAAATAAAATTCTAAATTGTTTTGTGAGTGTGTGAGAGAGAGAGATTTGTATCACTTTTTGTTGGGTTGAGTGGATGAGTTGAGCAGCTGGGAGTCAACTGGGTCTGAGTGGGCAGTTTGTTGGGGGTGCTTTCCTGGAAGGTTGGAAGAGGCATGACTTTTGTCTTTGTTCAAATGCATCAGTGTCAAAATTTTGATCTGCAGCTGAGACATTCTTATGTGCATATTAATATGTAAACATATCTATCACTCAATAGATATGAATGAATGGCATGTTACAAATTGGGCCAGATTTTCAGGGCAATGGCTGTAAAATATTGATCAGGAGATTGTGATCACAATACTCAAATGTTAAAGTCTGAGAGCATTACCTTGGAAAACTGTTTTCCCCTCCAAGGTACCTTTTCTTTACCAGTAAGAACATTTTACATAATCTTACCCAGCTATTGCTTAAAAAGTCAAAGTGTCTGTCTGCTACATTAGCCATCTTTCCTCTTAAAAGCACAATGCTCCTGCACATGTTGCCTGGTTTTGTGAAACTACTGCTGATTTTCTGGGCAATACTGTAAAGTTATTTTAGGTCATACAATTATTTGTTTTTTACCCGATCAAAATTAAGACCAAAATAGAAAAGTGGAAAGTCAGATATGGTAAGATCTGATCTACTCCTGTTGAATATGATGGCAAGATTCAGACTTCACTGAGAGCTGCATTTGGCCCATATGCTCTGTGCATTTTCTCTGGGTTGATTACTTTGTCATTTGTCTCTCACATTCTTAATTTTTTCCTTCTGCAGGTATAAGTTATAATGGATGTCCCATGCCTCCTCCACACCAGAGTTTACATCCTATTCATCAACGCCACATCACTGTGCCCACCAGCATTCCACAGCAGCAGGTCTTTGCCCTGGCAGAACCCAAACGAAAGCCATCCCTTTTCTGGCACACTTTCAACAAACTTACCCCATTCAAGAAGTGAGAGGGCTGAAGTCATTGGAAGGACACTGGCTGAAGGAGAGATGTCTTCTTGAGAAGAACCTTTGGGATGCAGCTGAATATGTTTGAGCTGGAAAACTGTGAATCCTCTCTTTTGGAGGGAAAGACTTAGGCTCTGCCTGAGCCAAAACATCACCTTTGTCTAGAAGGAAAATGAAGTTCATGAGGTTCTATGACGAAGAATCCAGATGGTTCTGAAGTAAATGTTGACATGCATCAATAAGCATTGCTAATGAGGAGCACATTACTTGGTGACAAAGGCAAATTGCTGTTATTCTATAGTAGCAGCATCTAATCTCTCTTTTTAGTCACACTTCATTAATGGTAGGGTCATTTGAACATTTCATTTTTCTTAATAGTGAATTGATGGCCAAATTTAGGATTAGGAAGGAATTCTTCCCTCAGGACATATTGGCAAGGGATTTTAGGAGAATTTTCTCCGTCCTTTGGATCACTGAGCAGGGGTCATCCATCAGGATCAGGTGAGTGAATCCCACCTGATTTCACTTGATGTGATGCAGAAACTAATGGACCTCAACACTTCCTGTCTTTTTCAATGTTCCTGTACATTTGCCAAATGGCAGTAGGAAGTCCCGCAAGGCCTTATCTTCTAGGTTAGAATAGAGAAATTTTTTGACTCCATATTACGGAAAAATGAACAAAAAAAGACTGCAAGGATTTATGTATTTACTGCAATAAGGACCGGAAAGAGGAAGGACCCACCGAATGATTCTTTCCAACCAAGGTACCATACTGCATTCTTGTATGCGCTGCCATATACATTTCATTTCTTGCCCACACCTCCTATCCTGTGAGACTCGTCTCTGTAATTCCAATATGGCTGTGTTTCAGTATAAAAACTAAAGTGTTTTGTTTTTTTAATCAAATGAAGATAATGTGAACATACAAAAATGCCAGGTTAAGGAACCATGAGAGACTACTAGATAGTTTTGGTTATATAATTCACACTGTAAATTCTGTCTGCATACAACTTTCCAGATAAAGTCTATGAACTGTAACAAAAGTTTCCATCAAGTTCCTGAAGCTGTCTTTGATTCTGAACCTCTTACACATCAGTCAAGTGACAGTGGGGTTTTATTACTTCAAAATGTTAAAGAGAAAATGACACCAGTATTGACAAAGGACATTGGTGGAATCAGAAATGGGCTTTGACTGAGAACCATCAGTTTCTCTTGGAGAAGGATGACCTTTTTTTGTGCTAAGGTCAGCTCTGGCCAGAATCTGTAGTATATGGTTTGCACTGCCCTATTTTGCTTTGCTTGTGACATGAAGTTGATTTGAAAGAATACCCTTAAAAAAAATCCAGTATGAGAAAACAGTATCTTGGAACTGGCAGCACTGATCATTTTTCTCAGTGGTCATGTGTAATGCTAATGAGAGTTATTAACAAGTATGGAGGAGAGACTCCACAGGTTTCAGCACTGGTTTGTAAAGGATTAATTTCAAATATTTTCCCATTACAAGATTCCTATGCTGCTGCTAAGGGGCATTATCTAATAATAAAGGCAGTTCCAGGAGTGTTCTTTGACAAATGAACATAATCTTCCTTGCCATGAATGTGTAAAAATATGTGAAGAACAAATAATAGGTTAACGGGCAGGCATCTTATGGACAATGTAAAAAGCCTTATTTTAAACTTTGCTGTTGTTATTCTCTCTGTTTTTACTTGTAGCCAGTCTTGTAGAGTCCAAAAGTTGGAGTGTAAAATAATTTAATAACCATGGTAGCTTCTACAAAGCATGAACAAGCTCACTAAGGATGCACACTAATAAATGTTTGTCAATAGATGTGTTAAAAAAATACTTCAATTTTTGATGGACACAGACATGACCTTTTACTAACAAGTGGTTTTAACTTTAAGTGATGCATTTTGGGAACAGTACATTTGAAATGCCTTCTGTATATAGCTTATCAATAACTGGGAAGATCTGCTGATGCTGAACTCAATTATCCAGTGTGTGGTGAACCTTAGTGCTTGTGTTTTTTTCATATTTATTGATGGAGTGAAAACCTGAAATGTTTACGAACTGCTTCATGGCAGATCAAATTATTCACAGGCATTTTTTTTTCTAAGCAATTTGGATTGATCTAATTTGGAAAAAAAAGCGTGCGGGAAAGTCAGCGAAATAACTTGCTGGGTGCTTTGAGGGTATTTTTTTAATATCTGTGTAAAATAAGCCACCTCCTTTCAGATTTTTTAAAGATAATTCTGAATGTTCAGTGTAAGTATAAGGACTATATTTCCAGATCAAGGCACCTAAACTTGTGCTCCCACTAAAATGGGGTAGCCATGTTGTATTTCTCAGTAGCCATTTGTCTTAACAGTTGCCCAGTTCTGCTGTAGGAGTGCAAGTTATGCGCATGCAACTGGCATGCAGACGTTTTTGAAGTCCTAGCTTCTCCACACACATTTGGAAAGTTTTGTCCTAGACACAAGAAAAGACTCTTGGGCTGCACTGTACACCCAGCTGTTCCTCCACCCCGTCAGCTTTCTATGTCATACTGGCATGAGCCTAAAGTGTTTGAGAGGCGCATCCATGGTTACACACTTGTCTTAGATAAAACTTATTCCACTCCAAAAAGCTAGTTCCTGTGGCAATAGTGGAAAGAAAATTAGATTTCTGAATGTACTTACTCATATGTGAATACCTACAAAGACTCTTCTTTGCATAGCAGTGCTTAGCCTTGGGAATGAAGGCAAAAGTTTGAATGTGTTTTTTGGATGCACGAGTTCCTTTCTTCAGGAGAACCTCATTCATTTCAACGAGATGCAAGGCAAAGCATTTCATGATGCAGATTATTCAGGATAGGTTTTATGTACAGTATATTGCATTTTATCTGGTTTATTGGTTTATCATCTTCTGTGTGTCTTTCCATGCAGCCTAATCCTGCACCAGGTGGGAAAAAGAGAGAGCAATATGGCATGTTTATGTACATTTTATTGGCTAATTTATTCATCCGTGGTCTAAGAATGTGCTCACTTGATGGCAGGATGACACAAAATGGGCCAAAGGGAGACTCCATCACAGGGTTTTGAAGATATCATAGTTAAACACTGTTACATTATCCAACAATCAAAGCACCTATTAACCAAGAAGTTCAGCATGATTGTAGAGTCTTCATGGAAGAACAGTTGCAAATTAAATACGATGGCTAGTAGTTTATCAAAATTTACCTTGAAAAGAACTTTGTTATTGTCTTACTCCTGATGAAATGGCTTTTCATGTGCATATCAACAGAAAAATCAGAATTCAATAGCTGTTAATTTCATCCCACTTTTCTTTGCTTTAAGTTATTTCATGTTCTAGTGCAACAATTAAGCACAGCTGTGCCTCATGTAGACATAGCACAGCCAGGGAGAGCCTTCCTTATTACCTATTGAGCAGATAACCTCAGACTTTTAGCTTGAAAAGCATTAAAACAATCTTCCTTGAATGTGTTTCCTTTGGGTTAGGATAATGCCAAAATGTATCTGCATCTAAGAGATTTGATCTTACTACAAAATAAGTTTGTTTTACAAGTGGCTTTTGCCATGCTGAATTGCACATTGATTTTTAACAGTAAAAAGCAACGAAGGAGTTTGAAGATAGACTACGTGAATATTCCGCATTTAGTTATTTTTTATATTATCAAAACTTGGAGTTTGGGAGCCAAAGGTTCTTAGCCATAACGAATACAGTACCTTTCATTGATGGCCTTTCTTTTTCTATGTCTGTGGCATTTGTATTTACGAGATACTTTCTGAATGATCCTGTAATTTAAGACTTTTTGTTGTAAATATTAGAGATGACTTACATATGTATTTTACTTGACAAATGTTTCTGTAACATTTTATCTTATGTACATGCTTTGTGCATTTTACCATCTGCGTGCTGTTACACATTGTAAATCAAGTGTCATGGCTACAGAACAGATGAATTGGCTGTTGACAGCTAAAGTACAATGTATAGGACTGCGGTGACTTCTTCTGAAGTAATCAGTGTGTTGCAAGATTTATTTCCACTCAGTACGTGGTTTGTCAAAATGAATCTATTTTCTGGAAATGAGTACAAACCTACATTTGTATTATTTTGTTCTCACTGTATGTTTTAATTAAATAATGTACAAAGCTGAAATTCCTCAGCAGTTTGTCTTATAAAATTATATTGTGCAGTTTTTAAAAATGGTGGCTGGTTTTGTTGTCTCTTAAATCTTTTCACTGGGATTTTAAATACTTCTAATATCACATTTCTTTAGAGCAAAAATGTAATGTCCTCCTCTATTGGTTTTATGATTGTACCCATTTACACTGTATAGCCTGGATTAATTTTAAACAAAACCACTTAAGTTTGACTCCAGATTTTAACTCTTCATCATTAAGAAAATATTTTAAACCTGGTTTTGCCCCAATTACATGTCTCTACCATCATTGCTCCTTGCCACCTTTCGTCAGACAGACAGTACCCATCAGTCCCCCTTGGAAGTAAATAAAAGTGTAGCATTTTCTGGCACTAATGAAATTGGTGCTGAACAGAAGATAATTCCGTTTTGCAGCAACTTTTGGGGTTTCAAAATTTTCCCTTCCACATGGGAATAAAAACAATATTTTGAACATTTTTTCAAAAATGGAATTATGTCAGGGGAGGTGTGTGTGTGTGCATGCACATGCAAGCTATGGGCTGGACAGCGGGTAGAGTTGTAGGAGACCCAAGTCCAAATCCCTGCTCTGCCTAATTCAGAGCAGTTTTTTATCCCAGATTTCTCTGCTTCAGGCACAGAAGGGACTTATCACAACTGGGATGTGGGCAGTCTGACTTAGTGGTTGGAGCAGGATTTGGGAGTCAGGCCAAGATATATACTAGGTCAGAGGGCAAACTCAGTGTCAGGAGCCTGGCAGGGTCAGGTTACCAGGAGATAAGCAGCAGGAACAAGTATTGCAAAGGAAGCAGCCCTGAGCAGGCCGAACACAGTTGCATAGACAACTTTCTGTTCCTGTGCTTGGGTTAAATTGAGGCTGGGGACCAATCCAGACCCCCACGGTTCCACCAATCAGAGCCTAGGACTACAGTCCTCTACTAGAATTCAGCTCTGTTATTCTAGCAGCTCTTAGCAGGTCCCAGGATGGCAGCTTGGGACTACCTAGCTCTTAAGAGCCCTGTGGGCCAGGGTGCAAGACCCCTGGTCCCTGTCAGGGCTTAAGTCCCACATCCCTAGCTACCAGGCTACAGAGCGGAGGGAGAGTCTCTCTCTCTCTCTCACCCTCAGAACAAAAAAACCCCTTTTTGACTAAATCACCACAAAATGTTCTGTCTTTGAAAGAGCATATGTTACAGAAATTTCATGTCAAAAATATTCTGACCTGCTCTTGTGTTGGCAGAATGATAGGGCTTGCAAATTCCTTTCCCTTCCTCTCAAAACTTGAACGTTTGACTTCCATCATTTGGCTGCCCCAGAAAATGAGAATTAAATGGGCCTTTCAAAGTCTGGGTCTCCCGTGTGGCATTGAAACAAACAGATTGTATCAAGGCCCTAAACTGTGTGGTTTCTTGCATTGTTACCAACTGCATAAATAGCCTATAAGGACTCTCTTCTCAGATAGAACGCTCAGGTGGCAGTCCGAATGGGCTATTTCTGTACACAGGAAATGTATGATTGTAATGTGTCTCTCCTCTCCTCTCCATCTTAGGTGTTCAGATACCACAGTGAGGTGCACAATATGAACAGATAGAGAGTTAATGGTATGAAGCTTGAGGAAATATAGGAGCTACACATTGCAGTCAGTCTTCTAAGAAGTTTGAAATTCAACTGGGTGCAGTGGGCATATTCCTGCTCTTAAGTTCTCAAGTATCTTGAAATTAGGACCCAATCCTATGAAGTGTTCAGGACCCTTAACTCCTGTTTGTCTTCGCTGAGGATCAGCACCAACGAGAAAGGGGCTTTAAGTTCATAGCATATGTATATGCATATTATACTGCCAGTTGATTTCAAAGGGCACGTGGTCACACATCACTAGGTAACTTAAGACAAGGATTTGGACCTTTGCATATAGCCTCAAAGAAGGAAGCAAAATATTAAATATTTAGACTGAAATAAACAGCTCCAGGAAAATATACATTTGCTATGTGTTCAATGTAACCTGCAAAGAAAAATAATTCGATTTTTCCTTTTTTAAAAATTGTTTGTGATGCATAAAGGTGGTTTGAAATGTTGGATTTTTGTCCCCTGCATATTTTTTAAAATATTAAAATTAGAAATTCAGTGTGTCCTGATCACACAAACTGCCATCATAAAAACTGGCTTTTTGACGGGCCAGACCAAAAAGAAAACTTCGCTATAGAGAGAGTCAGGGATGTTTCCTATTTGGAAAGCTGAGCACCATCGGTTGGAAATTCATATGCTGCCCCTAATAAATATTTCGGTTTGTGATGGGGCACTCACCTCTCGTCAGTGCCTCCTGTCAGCTGGGCATGGTGCTCCAACCTTTCTGCTCCTGGCACCCCCTGTAGGTTGTTGGCCTCATTAGGTGGATCTTTAGCGGCTCAGTTCTTCAGGCAAGTCACACAATCTGAAATGGATGAACCCTTTCTGGGGCAAGGGAAGTCCAACAAACTATCTGCCCTTATTAGGTTCTTCAGCTCTGTCTGTGGGCTCTTTGAATCCATCCCCTTTCTCAGGCTTTTACTAAAAAGTCCAACCAGAACTGTGGGTCTTCAGCCCCATCTGTGGGCCTGGTTGCATTCCAGCCCCTTTCTTGGGCCTTTAGGTAAAAGTCTTGTCCCCTTTGCAGGACTTAAGCAACTTCCCCACAGGGACTCAGGCCTGCCTAGTATGCCAGGTCCCAACCCAGGGACCCTGTAAACAGCAGCCACATATGCTTCCCTTAATAGATGCTGCTGCTTCATTCCCTGGGCTGCTTCCCACTCACTCCTGTCACCTTCACCCGTTACCTTAAGGTTACAGTACTTGGGTTCTCTCCATTTTATCCCTGCTTGAGCAGGGTCTCTCACAGGCTGCCTTGACTGGAGAGTTTCACTATCTACCATCCCTTCCTCAACCTTCTTGTCCCAACCAGCAACTGAGCCCCTGCAGCTCCTTTTAGCTGAGCCTGCTGTAATCTGATTGGCTGCTTCTCTGCAGCCTTTCTAGACAGGCGTGGAGGACCTACCTTCACGGCACCTTTCCTGGGGACCATGAGGCCTCCAGCAAAGGGCCAGGTACACCCCATCACAAGGTTTCAGTACAAAAGAAATGGGTATGAGGCAGAATCTACCATTTACACAGCAAGCCCTCAGCAGATCAACACAGTGCCCACGCAAACTGATCATAGAATATCAGGGTTGGAAGGGACCTCAGGAGGTCATCTAGTCCAACCGCCTGCTCAAAGCAGGACCAATCCCCAATTTTTGCCCCAGATCCCTAAATGGCCCCTCAAGGATTGAACTCACAACCCTGGCTTTAGCCGGCCAATGCTCAAACCACTGAGCTATCCCTCCATGATAGCTTGTATCTTCCATCTACTTGCTATCTGTTTCCTTCTCTTTAGTCTTTATGTTAAATTTTACTTTTGGAGTGTAATTTGCGACCTGGGATATTTTTTACTTGATGGCTCATTTTAACGTATTGTGTTATTCAGACAGTGCCAATAGCATGATAGGTACTTTGCAGGCCAGTAAAGGGTTACTGACTTGTACATTACAGGAGTGTTGTGACAGCAAAGTTCAGAGCAGTGTGTGAGAGAAGAAAAGAGGTTAGCAAAGAGAGGGGCATAGCTGCCCTTGTTAGGCCACAAAATCCTCCTGCCCTTTCCAGATTTTTTGGTTATTATTTATTCCAGATTTTATTATTGGTTATTCCAGATTTTATTATTGGTTATTAAAATTATTGGTTATTCCAGATTTTATTATTGGTTATTCCAGATTTTTTGGTTATTATTTAACTATTTCAGGCCAATCATTAATAGAAGGTCCTTGGCTGGGATCCCTGGCTGCTTCTGTAATAACCACGACCTTAATGGGCTCCCAGACTAAGACTCTTTTTTACTAAATTCAGGCAGCCGACTTGCAGCAAAACACCGAAACACATTACTGCTAGAACTGTATTCACCTGCATTTTACAAGGAAGAAAAGAGCATTATGAAGACTTATATAGGATTCCTCCTTCCTTGTGATTTTCAAAATATTGGAACTGGTGCTAGGGAAAGGAGGAGCACTAGCACCAAGCCCCTCTGAGGCCAGGATAGAGAGAGGCTGGAGTGCAGTATGCCTGTGTCTGGGTTTTAGGACATGAGGAAGGAGATCCAGAAATTAAGATAAGGTGAATTTGGACACTGGGTGAAACAGTTTAGGCAAAGTAAGAACTGGCCTGAACCTGGCCTGGAGACGATATATGGAGTATTGTCTGGCAGCCAGCTCCTCTCTCCTCATGGTCTATTCTGCATTGGTAGGTCCTGGATCGGGATAACAAAACTCAGCATCACTCACGAAATCAGAGTAAAATCCTTATGCAAAAGTTCCAGTGTAGACCGAGTCTTTTCAGTAAACCAATTGAAAGCTCAGTTCAGAACAGTTGAATAGTTTCAGAAAGGATTGTGTCACCATCTTGTGGCAATATCGAATATTACTGGCAATGTGCTGCAGTATCTAAGGCCTTGTTCTACCTTTGATATGACGTGGTGTGCTTCAGGAAACATGTTCTGCTTTCTCTGAATGAAGTTCCCTGGCCTGTCTTTGTGCTAATGAAAAGCAGAAATGGTAGCAAACAAAGACTCTTTGAACCTTAGGTGTCCTTAACACTATAGATAAAGAAATCTTGGCTAGCAAGATAGGGGCTCTACCTACCTACAATCACATACAAAATATCTAAGGGCCTGTCACAAGTGGGGATTAATATATATAGAAATATTAATTGACATACAAAAAAACACCTAAGGCAGTGCCCACCCCTCCTAGGATCGCAGCTACAGTGTCTCTTTTGCTCAGTCTAGAGTTCCTCATCGTGATGCTTTCCAGCCAGGAGCACCATCCCACCCGGAGTGGCATTACATACGGGTACACTCCTATACTGTACCACAGAGATATCTAACTGAAGTGGTATTATAATTTTTTTCAGAGAGTAATGAGGGTTGATCAGCAGTAGTCTTTTTACGTTCCTCTTAACCACCATAGACCCGATATAACTTTTATATGGTCTACGAACAACAACTTCTTTGACCTTCCTGACACCATACAGGCCCATGAAAACCCATTTACCTGTATCGTTTACATTTACGTCTACATCAATGCTACCAGTTCACCTAACACTGAATGTAACATTTCCATAGTCACAAAACTTGTTCTTATTCTGCAAACCAAAGTATCTAACATTTGTGAAGTTGATATATTGCATGGGTCTAGTAAACATTTGAACAGGGGTATACAACTTAATCCTTGCATCTCTTATTTGATATTGAACATTGATTACAATATCAATAGTGTGTACCTCAACTTTCATCCAACTATTCACATTTGTTTCCACTTATGAACAAAGGGAAGCATTGTCTGCTGCCACTTGCATAGTGCAGCCAGTGAGAAAGGTATCACTAATTATCCACTTGCATCCAACATCTGGTCTATACACAGATGCAAGCGTGTCCCCATTAACATCTTCTAGGGTTACATTTGACTCACCTTTCTCTACCATGAAGGCAGTCATAGTCCTTCCACTGCACTTGTCTTCCCAGACCATGTAGCAATTGCTCAGTAGTTCATATGCGTATATTGCTATGGTGCCCTTAATTTGAAGAGGCATTCCTTGGATTACATAACTGTTATTAGCCTCACAACTAAAATATTCACTGGTGTTAACAATCACTGCATTTCCAACATGCAGGACCATAGACATAAACAAATACAGCAGAGCATTTTTCTGTGGCACCTAGAAAGCAAAGAAAGAAAAGGGGACAGGTTACTATATTTTGCGCTGATAGAGCTTACTGGGACTCACACCGTAGAAGCCTCTGCTTTCCCTCTGGGCAAGTAGTACTGACAGAGCTCACCTCTTCTTTCCACACATGTTTATTGGCCCTTCCAGCTCTTCAGTTGGGAAGAGTGAAACCACTTTAAGACCTGCTTCTTTTTCCCTTTAATTTCAACCTGGTAAATGGTGGGACTTGCTTTATTAACAATAACAACGGGGGCCAGCCACCTGGGGCTCAATACATGTTTTTTCTCTGAGTAAAACCTATGCAGCACTCTGTCCCCAATGTTCCACTCAGTTACCTGCAAAGTTTCCCCCAGCCGTTTGTCCATTAGCTTTCTGTTCACCTTCAGGTTAATCACAACCTGCCTCTGGATCTTACTGATGGAATCTAACAACTCATTCATGAACTGATCCGTCAGAACCACTGCTGATAATCCTCTGGTGGCATTCCACCTAGCTACCACTGCTCTGGGATCTTCATGAGTCTACCTGTCAGGGCCTTGTGAGGTGTAAAGCCATGTGAAGTTACCATTGACTTTTGTGCCATGAGAATCTGTGGGAGCTTTCAATCCCAATCTTTACCTGATTCTTTCACTATCTTCCTCAATTCAGTCTTTAGGGTTCTATTGGTTTGTTCTACTAAACCCGAACTTTGAGGGTGACCTGCAATTTGTAACCTCAACCCTAGTCTGAATCGATTACATCAGGTAGACCAAACCTGGAAAAGGTCTGCTCCAGCAGCACCTTGGCCGTAATACTGGCTGTGTTGTTCCTCATTGGGTATGCCTCCACCCACTTTGAGAAAGCATCTATCACCACCAGACAGAACTTGTTACCTCACCCGGCCTGAGGTAACGGGCCTATAAAATAGATTTGCAACCTAGACCATGGACCTACTATGGGCTGGTGCAGCAAGGGTCCCTTCACTACATTGCTATCACAGGGTTGTTCTCTACACAGGATAGACACTTGTGATGTGATGCTCTACATCCGTCACATAACCAGGCCACCACCCCACAGTCAAGATTCTATTGACTGTCTTCTCTATATCAAAATGTCCCTGGCCATGAGCCAAAGCAACAAGTTATTTTCTTAAACACACAGGTATCACTAATACTGGAGCCCCCACAGTGTCTCACTTCCTGACAGCCATAACAAGGTCACCTTTCGTTCTAAAGATAGTATAGTTCTATACATAAATCCAATACAGTGAACCACTTGGCGCATGCTGAAATTGCCACCATAACCTCCTGAAACTTCGCTACCACCAGCACCATCCGGGGAGCTACATTGTTAAGCTCTTGATAGTTCACTGTGAGCCTCCAGGTCTTCTTGTCAGCTTTTAGCACAAGCCATATTGGTGAATTACACGGACTAACTGTTTACACCAATACTTCTTGTTCCAGAAGGGCATCAATGGTCTCTTTGATCCCTTCCTTAGCATTCTTGGCATATCTGTATTGCTTCTGGGGCTCTGGATCAGAACCCAGCACCACCACCTCTGCAGTGATCTTACTGCACTGTAGCTTGTTCTTTGCGAAAGCTTTTGGGTACCTGACTGCCACTTCTGTGACCTCTTGCTCCCATTTAGGAATCACCAATTCCTCTGGAACCTTGAGTGCAGCTACTCAGGGAGAAGCAGGGACAACAAATCCTCCTGCTGTTTTGTCCTGAACCAATACTCTATTGGGCAAATAATACCGCATCAAGCTTCATTGCTTGTTAGTTTAGAATTCCTCTGTAATCCTGCATAGATCAATCTTAATAGTAGTTATACACTCTTTTAGTTACAGTAGCTATTCATAATTGGTTTTGTTTTTTATTTTCATTATTAAATGTTAATCCTAGCTCATCTCTAGAGACACAGCCATGCTCTGAAGAGTTTATCTTAAACTCCTCTGTCCCTGACACTTAATTTATATTTTAGACTGTTCTAACCTATTACTGTTGGGTTTTGTTTTTTAAATACATAAATTAAAAAAATTAGACCATGATCGCAATCTATCAATCCTAATTTATGTAAATTATCTGTTAAGGCCCAAATGTGGAACATAAATCTAAAATAATAGAGGTGAAAAATAGCACAAGAAACTTTAGATAAAGTGAAATTCTTTCCTTTACGAGAAATGTCTATAAACGCAGTTTCCTGCATCTACATTTCTTATATCAATATTGTACTGTAATGAAAAAGATACCACAAAATTGATGTGGAGCAAAGACTGATTTGTATTTAAAGTAAAGGGCAACTGAGCAGTATCTGAGTTTGATGGGAAGCCAAGTCTATGCCACAGAAAAGAACAGGCTAGGAAATGCATCTTAAAAATAGATTTAAATGACTGTCCTAGCCAATGTCTCTTGGTTGCTGCCAGCATGGGCTGAGTGATGCAAGTTTGAAACTCTTCTTCGAAATCTGCTCTCATCACTGGAAAGTGGCAGCTGGCCAAGGACAGTTTGCAAAGCACATTTTAACCCAACTCTTCCCTGTGTGGCTCAGCTAACTGGCCTGAGGAAGAAACCTGCTCAGTTAGATTAAACCCCATGTCTACACTATAGGAGTGCTATGCCACTGTAGCGATGTGGTGTAGATGCTTCCTACATCAACAGAAGGGGGCTTTCTGTTGATGCACTTCACTTCTCTGAGAGGCGGTAGCTAGGTTGACAGAAGAATCCTTCTGCATCTACACTGATGTCGACCTATGATGCCAAGGGCTTGTTTACACTACCCGCTGGATCGGCAGGCAGAGATCAATCCAGCAGGCGATAAATCGACCGCTGAGCGCTCTCCCGTCGACTCCGGTACTCCACCAGAACGAGAAGCGCAAGCAGAGTCCACGGGAGAGCCTCAGCTGTCAACTTACGGCGGTGAAGACACTGCGGTAAGTAAGTACGTTGACTTCAGCTACAGCTATTCACGTAGCGTACCGTAGCTTGACCCCGCGCGGTAGAGCAGACAAACCCCAAGGAGTAACATTTTAAAACCCCCTGAGCAAGGTCGATCTAAGTTTCAGGTGTAGACCAGAGCTCAGCTGGGCAGTCAGCGCCTCAGGCAAAGGCTGCCGGAGAATTCCTGGGTCAGCCCCCCAGCAGAGGCTGGGTTATTCCTCATCCTCATCCGCGGGGTTTTGATGAATAGATTTTTAAGGCCAGAAGGGACCATGATGATAACCGGGTCTGACTTTCCGCAGTAGGTAGGGCTCGTAGAACCTCGCCAGCAAGGGTCCAAGATTGCTCCTGTGATCTTCCCCAGACAGGCCCAACGCGGGGAGCAGCGGAGGCCAAAGGAATGAAACACGCAGCGACAGGCTGCCTCCCCAGGAGCGGGCCCCGCCAAGGCCCCGGCTATACCGCCGGACCCTCACTGCGCGCCTTGCAGCGGCTCACGCCCCGCCCCGCCCCGCCGGCTCCTCCTCACGCTGGGAGGGACGTGCCGGGGTCGCGGCCCTCAGCAGTAGCCGGAACTGGGAGGTGACTCCCGGCGCGAGCTGGGGCCGGGGCTCCTGCTCCTCCCGCCATGCTGTCCGGGTGCGGGCGGGCGCTGCCGGCCGCCCTGCGCCTCGCGGTGCGGGGCTGGACAGGGGGCGGCGGTGGCGGCGGCGGCAGGAGGCGGGTCAGCACCAGCTGGTCGCCGGTGGGCGCCGCCTTCGATGCCAAGCAGCAGCGCAGCCGGCTGACGGGCCAGAGCACGGTGAGCGGGCGGGGCCCCGGGCTTGGCGGGGCGGGCTAAGGCCCGCCCCCTCTTGGAGGTGGCCGGGGGCCCGCGCCCTGCCCCCGTCCTGAGCCCGGCGGAGGCTGTGAGGCGCGCTGCGATCGGTCGCCTCTCAGCGCCCCCCCGGCTCCCTGGGGTCGCCCCTCTCCCCGAGCCCCTGCTGGGACCCGGGGGCGCCCCGCATGCCGAGATCTGCTCCCTGGCGCCCGCGGCATGTTGGGGCCGGGGTCTGGCTCTGTTCTGCTTGGGGGAGGCTCCCTGCAGCGCAGCGGTGCACTGAGGGCCGGGGCCTCCCGTGGACCCCACGTCTCAGCTCAGGGCAGGGAGCTGCGAGCAACCCTTGGGGTCACCCACTGTTATGCCAGACCGGGGGGAGGGGGGTCCATGGGGTAAGCTCAGTGCCTCGTGCAGGAGCCTGGGGGCGGGGTTTTGATGAATAGATTTTTAAGGCCAGAAGGGACCATGATGATAACCGGGTCTGACTTTCCGCAGTAGGTAGGGCTCGTAGAACCTCGCCAGCAAGGGTCCAAGATTGCTCCTGTGATCTTCCCCAGACAGGCAGCAGGCAGTACAGCCTGCACCCTGGAAAGCTTGAAGGGCGATCGTGCCATTAAAGTACTACACCTTTGTCCTAGACTGTATTTTAAAGGTTTAATCTAACCCTAAATTTACCAATTACTTACCCCTTCACACTCGCTCTCTCTTTTTTAATGGCAAGTCTGCACATAAAATGTTGTTCTGATGCAGCTGCACCGCTGGAGTGCTTTAATGAAGACAGTCCACGACAGCCACGGGAGAGAGCTCTGCTGTCCCTTAGGGCTAGTCTACACTATTGTGCTAGTACATCTCTGCAGCTGCACCGCTTCTCGTGAAGATGAGCTATGCTGATGGGAGAGCACTCTCCCGTCGGCATATTACTCCATCTCAACAAGAGGCGGGAGCTATGTCGGCGGGAAAGCGTCTCCCACCAAGATAGCACCAGTGTGGATAGTGCTTAGGTTGATGTAACTTGCATTACTCGGGGATGGCTTTTTCACACCCCTGAGCAATGTAAATTACATCAATTTAAGTGGTAGTGTAGACAAGCCCTTAGTTAATCCGCCTCCCCGAGAGGTGGTAGCTGTGTCTCCGGGAGAAGGCCTCCCATCGACATAGTGCTGTCTACAGCCAAGGTTAGGTTGGTATAACTGTGTTGCTCAGGGGGTGTGGATTTTTCACTCCCCTGAGCAATGCAGTTATACCAATATAGGTCTGTAGTGTAGATCAGAATTTAGATAGCTGCTTGCTTTGAGGAAATATTCCTGTGTAGTGGAGATCCACGTAATCTCTATTTTGAGGATTTAGGAGGTGGGATGTGAGTGGTGTGTAGATTTTGATCTGATGTTCTGCAGGGGAGTGAGTTTCACCAATAAATTAATAAAAAAAAATTAATTGGAAATCACTGAAACAATTTAAAACAACGTAAAACAAATTGTTTTATGACCCAGATGGCAAAATTATTGAGATGATTCTGTGCCTTGTCACCAATAATTTCTGTATTGAAGCGAGGCAAGAAATACTCTCTTGTTGTATCTCTTAGGTAAACCTTTTGTTCTGGGGCTCTTCCTATTCAATTACTTTTCACCCTGTTCAGTTGCTTCCTACACAGAGAATTTGTGGCTAACTGAAGTGCAAAAGCTCTGATTACATGTGCAGTTTCATCAGCCAGTTTTAAAATTTGTCCCGAGTGTCATTTAATTTCTTTTTAAGCTGTGTGTCTGAAACATCCTCTCCTCCAAAGAGATGAAGAAATGGGGGTAGGAGGGGATCCACTCTCGCCAAAACGTTCATATCTGTATGTCTAAAGTGAGGGTCCTAAATCCACATTACGTGCTCAACCCTTTGAAAATCAGGCTGCTTCTACTTACATGCTCAAATATGGATTCAGGATCTTAACTTTTATGAATCCAGTTATGAAAATTTTGGTCTTGTATACTGGAACAGTCTTTAGGATCTACACCGGTGGTGGGCAACGTGTGGCCTGTCAGGGTTAATCCCTGGCGGGCCGCTAGACAGTTTGTTTACATTTGCACGGCCGCCCACAGCTCCCAGTGGCCGCTGTTCCCGGCCAATGGGAGCTGTGGGAAGTGGCGCAGGCCGCATGTTGCCCACCACTGAACTACACAGTAAGAATTATTTTTCCTAATTTATATTGCAGTTAAAGGCAAGAAAAAGCAATCAGTTTTTCTGAATTAAAACTGTTCTGTGATCATACCATAATTCAAATAGGAACATTTCAAACTGAAGGTTTGTGAAGATTATTTTGAAATGACTGGGATATTTTGGAGATGAAACAACTTAGTTTTGTCTGCTGTTTCACCCTTTTGTGTTCATGTTTTTTTTTTAAACTGATATATTGGCTAACACAAGCAAATGTTTATCTGTGGAGTGTTGCCACCAGGCCTGTTGATTTTCTTCTTTTTGATGAGTCATTCATTTATGTTAGTGAGAGTCCTGTGGCAGATTTCCAGGAGTGAGCTATAATGCTGAATTACCTGGAATTAAGAAATTGGCAGAGCAGATACCAGTAACATTGTTCTTCATTATTTTTGTATTACCGATACTTATCTGTTTCCAGTAATGCCCACAATGTGCTACCCACTGTACCAATGCTAAAGAAGGGTTCCTGCTCTGAAGTGCCAAGTAGGGCAGTTGAAGCTGCTGAGACCAGGAGTAAAATTTTCAAAAATGCCTCAGTGATTTAAGAGCTTAAATCCCATTTTCAGAATGGTTAGGTGCTTTCAGGGAAGCTTAGGCTTCTGAGGCCCAGAGCCGCAAGGGTATTTATAAGCTCGGAGGATTTGGGCCTAAGTGCCTAAATAACTTTTGAAAATAGGACTTCTGGACTCCTAAGTCACTTAGTTTTTAAAATTTTACCTCAGGTCTGTAACATAAATCTCATGATATGAGTGCTATATTTCCAGGCCACTACCAGTTTGCTTTAACGCATAAAAGTAGCTCTTCCAAAATTTGTGACACCCAAATGCCTAAATATAAGTAATTTGAAAAATTTTTATAGCAAACACCCATTTCTGAACATTACAGAACAAAGTAACTTTCTTGACAGTTATTGCAAAAATAATTTGTTTGGTGATTAATCGAAATGTCCAAGTTTTAGCAAGGGTTTCTATAGTAGATAGTATTACGTTGTAAATAAAATACATGTTTTATTCTGATTTTTGTCAGTTTGGTGTAGATCTGAAACTGAGAGATTAAAAATGAGATACTCTAGTTATTTTGTTCTAGTGTATTTGCACTGTATGTTGAATCTACACTTGGTATTTTAGGGTCTATTTGGTGTTCCAGAATTGAGTTCTCCAGAAGGATTTCAAGAGGCACAAGAAAAAGCATTACAAGAAACTGAACAGCTCGTCCAGAAAGCATGTACTACACCTCCTGGGCCACAGACAGTAATGATTTTTGATCAGCTTTCAGATGCATTGTGCAGAGTAGCAGACTTGGTAAGATTTATTGTTAAGTTTGATAGTCTCTTGTAAATTTACTTTTTATTTGGATATTTCTAGCTTAGCTCAGACTTTTGTTTTGTAAAGATACTTTATCAACATTGCGATTTCCTGTATCATGATAGAAAATTACGATTTCCCACTAAGGAGGGTCTTTTTAATCAGTTACAAAGTCTTTCATTAAATTACCAGTAGTTTCAGAAGTTATATCTGATGTGATTTGTAACTGTACAGTGAACTTTAAGTGAGATTTAAAAATAATATATCAATGACAAGAAACATAGTAAAATCAGATCAGTATTTTATTAACATTCTTGCCTTCTCAAGACTTGCAGTTACGAAGTGTGTACATCTGGGAATCAGATCACTCTGAAATGTAAAGACGACTCTAGGCTGTAGCATAGATGGCCTTTTATTTGTGCCAACAACACTCAGTTTATAGCCAGGAAGTGATGAATCTCTTATGTCTACACAAGAAACGCCACAGCTGTGCCAATGTAGTATAAATACTACTAGAGCGATGGAAGAATCCCTTCCATCGCTCTAGTAGTATTTACGCTACAGTGGCACAATAAATAAGTAATAAAATCCCCCTTTCCAAGAGGTGGTAGCTAGGTCAACGGGCAAATTCTTCTGTCAACCTAATGGTGTCTACATCAGAGCTTAGGTCAGCTTAGCTACATTGCACAGGGGGTGAAATTTTTCACAGCCTTGAGCAGTGTAGTTAAGCCAACCTAAATGTGTAGTGTAGACCTAACTTTAGCCAACTAAATCAACAAGAGAATTTAACAAAACAATGTAATAGCTGTCACTCTTGTGAAAAGATTCATGGGATCATTAATTCCGGAAACAGTCAGGATCTCTGTTTTATATTTCATACAGAGAACAGCATCTGCAGTAAGACCATAAGAACAGCCATACTGGGTCAGACCAAAGGTCCATCTAGCCCAGTATCCTGTCTTCCAACCATGGCCAATGCCAAGTGCCCCAGAGGCAATTAACGGAATAGGTAATCATCAAGTAATCCATCCCCTGTCACCCATTCCCAGCTTCTGGCAAACAGAGGCTAGGGACACCATCCCTGCCTATCTTGACTAATAGCCATTGATGGACTTGTCTTCCATGAATTTATCTAGTAACATGATGCTGGAAAGGTTCAGTTCTGGCTTAGAGGGAAGATTGCTAGATACTGTAATGTGAATACCGCTTCCTGTAGCAGCCTGGGTTTTTGTTAGAGGTCTGCCAGCCTATTATTTATTAAGCCTGACACTGCTTACCTCATGAGATCTTATAAGATTGCATCCTCACTTGTTATGGCTACAAGCAATATATTGTTTAACACAAAATCCAAGTTCAAATAATATTAATGGTCTGTTTTAAACCAATAAAACATGGAGAGTTGAGGATCTGAAGCTCTTCTTAATTCACCATGTTGTGCTTCAATACGTAAACTTACTGATGTGTAAAAATCACCATACTCTCAAAGTGGGTTGTTCATGATGAAGTTGTGACCATGACAATTCGTTGTAATTGAAGCATGTATTGGTTTTATGAGGTTTAATTTTACTTTTCTTATGGTAGTAATTTTTTTAAAAAAGTGGTCTTATGAGCTGAATTTACTGACTGTATATGGTATATTATTAACACATATAATAAATGTTTACTTCATTAGTATTTGAGCCTTTTATGGTAGCACATGATTTATTGCTTCATTAGTGGTATTTTTTCAGGTTATACTGTATGATCTTAGGGGCATAAACAAAATCTAAAAATATGTATTGTATCCCAGTGATTATGTTAATTTAGATTTATATCAACCGTACCAATAAGAGACTCCTTCAATCCCTCCTGAGATCCTACAGAATCTAGGGGCCAAAGTTTGCTCACCCTAAAACCAAGGAGTGTTTTAACAGTGACATCCATGGAAGTAGAATCTGTCTCTAAGGCCCTCTCCAGTCCACCCACCCCATTAGGAAATGCCTGCTTAAACACACAAACAACCCTAAAGGTCAACAAACTTATCAGGTGAAAGGGGGAAGCTAATTGTAGAGTTGAGGGCCCTCGGCAAGAGAATACATTGTCCTATCCCAGATGTTAACAAGTAGAAGGGTACTGTCTCAAATAAATGGCATACAAGCCATAAAGGGCTTGATAGCAAAATTAGTTTGAATTACACCTCAAAATAAACTGGAATTCAGTGCAGTCTATGTGCACAGGTGTAATACATTATATGTGGGATGTACAGTTTACTAAGTAGATAGCTATATTCTGCACTACATGAAATTTCCAAGTGGGTATGAAGTGTTTCTCCAAGCAGAGCGCAATGTAGTAACCCAATCTGGAGGTGAAAAAGGCATGTATAATTATGGTGAGGTCTGAGTTTGAGAGGAAACTTCTTGTCAAGTACAGATGGGGAGAAAACCACTCCTGGCCTTTGCTGCTATTTGTACATCCAGACACAGCGGAGGCCTCAGTAGTATCTCTACATTATGAATATTAGTGACAAGAGGTAGTTATACTGAATAAAACGAGCATGTATTAAATTACCTGTTCTGACAAAAAGAAAAGGAGTACTTGTGGCACCTTAGAGACTAACAAGTACTCCTTTTCTTTTTGCGAATACAGACTAACACGGCTGCTACTCTGAACCTGTCATTATGTTCTTATACTTTCCCAAGCCAGCCTGGAAGTAGATCCACATGTTCCGAAGATGCCTCCAAACTTGTACGTCAGCAGATGTGTCTTAATTTTTGCATGCTTTACCCTGCCTACACTCTTGTGTTCACCAAAGCTCTGCTGCATGTGGAAGTTGAATCGTTAGTTGCTTAGCTGCTTGATTGGTGCACACAATACTGTTATCACCAAAATAGGGGAATTTGTACATAGGTAAAAAAGTAGGGCTGTCAATTAATCACAGTTAACTCACATGAGTAACTCAAAAAAATTAATCATGATTAATCGCAGTTTTAATCGCACTGTTAAACAATACCATTTGAAATTTATTAAATATTTTGGAAGTTTTTCTACATTTTCAAATATATTGATTTCAATTACAACACAGGATACAAGTGTACAATGCTCACTATATTATTTTTATTACAAATATTTGCACTTTAAAAATGATAAACAAAAATAGTATTTTTCAATTCACCTTATGCAAATACTGTAGTGCAATCTCTATTGTGAAAGTGTAACTTACAAATGTAGATTTTTGTTGTTGTTACATAACTGCACTCAAAAACAAAACAATGTAAGACTTGAGAGCCTACAAGTCCACTCAGTCCTACTTCTTGTTCAGCCAATCGCTAAGAGAAACAAGTTTGTTTATATTTACAGGAGATAATGCTGCCCACTTCTTATTTACAATGTCACCTGACAGTGAGAACAGATGTTGGTATGGCACTTTTGTAGTTGGCCTTGCAAGGAATTTATGTGTCAGATATGCTAAACATTCGTATGCCCCTTCGTGCTTTGCCCACCTTTCCAGGGGACATGCTTCTGTGCTGATGATGCTCATTAGAAAAATAATGCGTTAACTAAATTTGTGTTTGAACTCCATGGGGGGGGCGGGGGAGAATTGTATGTTTTCTGCTCTGTTTTACCTGCATTCTGCCATATATTCCATGTTATAGCAGTCTTGGATGATGACCCAGCACATGTTGTTCATTTTAAGAACATTTTCACTGCAGATTTGACAAAATGCAAAGAAGGCCCCAATGTGAGATTTCTAAAGATAGCTACAGCACTTGACCCAAGATTTAAGAATCTGAAGTGCCTTCCAGAATCTGAGAGGGACGGGGTGTGGAGCATGCTTTCAGAAGTCTTAAAAAAGCAACACTCTGATGCGGAAACTACAGAACACGAACCACCAAAAAAGAAAATCAACCTTCTGCTGGTGGCATCTGACTTAGAAGATGAAAATGAACATGCATTGATCTGCACTGCTTTGGATCATTATCGAGCAGAACCTGTCATCAGCATGGACGCATGTCGTCTGGAATGGTGGTTGAAGCATGAAGGGACATATGAATCTTTAACATAAGAATGAACGAATGTCCATACTGGGTCAGACAAAGGTCCATCTAGTCCAGTATCCTGTCTTTTGACAGTGGTCAATGCCAGTTGCCCCATAGGGAATGAACAAATGATCTATCCCCTGTTGCCCATTCCCAGTTTCTGGCAAACAGAGGCTAGGGACACCACCATCCCTGCTCATCCTGGCTAATAGCCATTGATGGACCTATCCTCCATGAATTTATCTAGTTCTTTTTTGAACGTATTTGGCACATAAATATCTTGCAACACTGGCTGCAACAGTGGCATGAGAAGGCCTGTTCTCAGTTTCAGGTGACATTGTAAACAAAAAGCAGGCAGCATTTTCTCCTGCAAATGTAATCAAACTTGTTTGTCTGAGCGATTGGCTGAACAAAAAGTAGGACTGAGTGGACTTGCAGGCTTGTTTTATTTTTGTACAAAAATAACTGCATTCATAATTCTACATTTGTAGGTTCAACTTTCATGATAAAGAGATTGCCCTACAGTACTTTTATTAAGTGAATTGAAAAATACAATTTTTTATTTTTACAGTGCAAATATTTATAATAAAAAAGCAAATATAAAGTGAGCACTGTACACTTTATATTGGGTGTTGTAATTGAAATCAATATATTTAAAAATGTGAAAAACATCCAAAATATTTATGATAAATGGTATTCTATTATTGTTTAAGAGTGTGATTAATCCCGATTAATTTTTTAATCACTTGAAAGCCCTATAAAAAAGTGCACAAAATATAGATGTATATTTTATGTAAGCAAATTAGGAGGTGAAGTTGGAGTGCCTTTGGAAAATTCGACCCATAAAATGACTCCAAACACTTAAAGTAAAAATTATGTGTTTTCAGAAAGATTATAAATGTATGCTATATTACATAGTAAACCACATTCAGTTTCAGTTTTTCTTTTGAAAGGAGTTTCATATATTTCAAATAAATCCAGATAACCTTTAACAGAATGAAATATTCAACAGTTGTAAGTATAGCAATCTGCAGTTTATTTCCTTGTGCAAAATAGTCTCTTCTTGTGTATATAAAAATATTTAAAAATCTGCGTGATGACATTTACCATGAAAAGCAATGAAATCTGGTAAATATTTAGCATAATCATATGAAAACAGCTTAGTCTAATACCAAGATAGGTGTCTCTTGCAGTATCTGGAAAACTTTAGTGCATTTGAAAGATTGAAACTTCTTAAGGTTATTTTTTCCATTTTAAAAATAATTCAGAGAAAAAGTAGACCACAAGATCATACATAATAAGAGAAGTAAAACATATATCACTGTTAGGTTTGTGTCCTCATGTCACCATTGAGCTGGGCATGGGCCAGCAGGGAATTCACAAGTGTAAGTCAAATCCTGTAAACTCCCAGTGTGTAGTTCTTATTCATATGGTAGTCCTGTTGGCTGTAGAAGTACTATTTGTGCGGATAACAATTTGCAACATTGTGCCTTTAAGCCCTGGTGCTATAAAGACACACATGCTTAAATGTACTTTCATGAGCTATGCCATTGATTTCAGTGGAACTTTTCATGGGAGTGAAGTTAAACATTTGGATGTTTGCAGGATTGAGGCTTTAGTGAGCATGGAGGAAACCTATCACATTGCTCAAGGCAGGATTCACTATTTTACTGAAAGTCTCTGTTGATCCTTTAATCTTATGTGACACTTTTTCCAGTAGTATGCTGGCATTTGTCTGTTTCTCTACAAATGGTGGCGAGACCTTTTGAAAGATGTAGTCTCTCATGAGTTTTTATCCAATTTTGATGAAAGATTAAAGCTTTAACATGAAGTTCTGTACTTAGTTTATAAAACCCTTTTTCAAGCAAGCGTGTAATATTTATAGTAGCAATATTTAAGATATTTCTTAAAACGTGTCTTAGGAGTAGATGGTCTATACTAAATTTTGAAAAACAATACAAAACATGTTTATTTTTCTGGAATAGAGTTTAGTAAAAAATAGAAAGTTTTAAAGCAGTAAGATTCAAAGGCACTGTTTTTTTATGAGTGTTTCTTGCAAGGGAAAGAACCTTTTTCTAAGGTACATGCCTAACTGAAAATAATAATAATAAAAACCTAAGTGAAAATATTTTCTTTGGAGTGAAATTTATACTATAGCAATTAATAACTGTTGACAGGTTCTTAACAGATACTGGTTCTGAGAAGACAAATTTATGTGAAAGTGCTCAGTGAAAAGAGATTGCGTGTAACAGTGGAAACATGTTAAGCTGAGTGGAATTGCCAACCTTTTTTAAAACTATTTATTTATTTATTTAGGAAGTTTAAACATGTTTACAAATCTGTGCCATATAAATTCCAACTCTTCTCTAAAAACTAACTTGCATGTAAGTTTCAAATTATGGACAATCTTTCCCATCACCACCACTTCTCTTCTTTTTCTACTATGTCAGGCTGACTTCGTGAAAATTGCCCACCCTGACTTTGCATTCAGAGAGGCTGCTGAAGAAGCCTGCAGAAACATTGGTACCATGGTAGAAAAGTATGTTTTGTTCATTTATGTTGCTGTAAAATTAGCTTTCATGTCTGAAAAATTCTGCACTATCCAACAGATAACTTTTTTGCTTATTGTTAACATGTGTGTGAGATTTTTATGTGTGGAACAGAGAGCAACTTTGTTTTTAAATGAGTTATTTAAAGATTCATCCTTACAGTGACTGGTGTAAGGTCACATACACCAATACCCGGGCCAGAGTCGTCGTCAGTTTTCTCTGCGAGCGTCTAACAAAGCTGTGACCAGCCAAGCTCCGGCAGCAGAGCTTTCTGCCATCTAAGAGGGACAGCGCCGCATCAACGCATATGCTTGATAGGCTTCACGCCGTCAAGACTAGAAATAATAATCGTAAGAGTAAATTCAGTAGAAACTGACAGCTTGAGCCTGTGCACTTGTTTGCACTTCCTACCTGCAAGTGGATTTTTCAAGACCTAAAGCGGGGGGGTTACTCAGTAGGGCTTACCTTGCTGCGGACTGTCTGTTTTTAAATGTCAGTTTGGATTGAAGTAAACTTTTAGAGACGAGGAAAGCACAAATTAACCTGAATCTCAGAAACTTCTTAACTACTATGAAAGTTTGGAGGCAGCTACTGTATTTACGTTTCAGAGTAGCAGCCGTGTTAGTTTGTATTCGCAAAAAGAAAAGGAGTACTTGTGGCACCTTAGAGACTAACCAGTTTATTTCATAGAATCATAGAATCATAGAATATCAGGGTTGGAAGGGACCCCTGAAGGTCATCTAGTCCAACCCCCTGCTCGAAGCAGGACCAATTCCCAGTTAAATCATCCCAGCCAGGGCTTTGTCAAGCCTGACCTTAAAAACCTCTAAGGAAGGAGATTCTACCACCTCCCTAGGTAACGCATTCCAGTGTTTCACCACCCTCTTAGTGAAAAAGTTTTTCCTAATATCCAATCTAAACCTCCCCCACTGCAACTTGAGACCATTACTCCTCGTTCTGTCATCTGCTACCATTGAGAACAGTCTAGAGCCATCCTCCATGGAACCCCCTTTCAGGTAGTTGAAAGCAGCTATCAAATCCCCCCTCATTCTTCTCTTCTGCAGGCTAAACAATCCCAGCTCCCTCAGCCTCTCCTCATAAGTCATGTGTTCTAGACCCCTAATCATTTTTGTTGCCCTTTGCTGGACTCTCTCCAATTTATCCACATCCTTCTTGAAGTGTGGGGCCCAAAACTGGACACAGTACTCCAGATGAGGCCTCACCAATGTCGAATAGAGGGGAACGATCACGTCCCTCGATCTGCTCGCTATGCCCCTACTTCTACATCCCAAAATGCCATTGGCCTTCTTGGCAACAAGGGCACGCTGCTGACTCATATCCAGCTTCTTGTCCACTGTCACCCCTAGGTCCTTTTCCGCAGAACTGCTGCCTAGCCATTCGGTCCCTAGTCTGTAGCTGTGCATTGGGTTCTTCCGTCCTAAGTGCAGGACCCTGCACTTATCCTTATTGAACCTCATCAGATTTCTTTTGGCCCAATCCTCCAATTTGTCTAGGTCCTTCTGTATCCTATCCCTCCCCTCCAGCGTATCTACCACTCCTCCCAGTTTAGTATCATCCGCAAATTTGCTGAGAGTGCAATCCACACCATCCTCCAGATCATTTATGAAGATATTGAACAAAACCGGCCCCAGGACCGACCCTTGGGGCACTCCACTTGATACCGGCTGCCAACTAGACATGGAGCCATTGATCACTACCCGTTGAGCCCGACAATCTAGCCAGCTTTCTACCCACCTTATAGTGCATTCATCCAGCCCATACTTCCTTAACTTGCTGACAAGAATACTGTGGGAGACAGTGTCAAAAGCTTTGCTAAAGTCAAGAAACATTTATTTGAGCATAAGCTTTTGTGAGCATCCGATGAAGTGAGCTGTAGCTCACGAAAGCTCATGCTCAAATAAATTGGTTAGTCTCTAAGGTGCCACAAGTCCTCCTTTTCTTTTTGTATTTACGTTGTATGCTTCTTTCTATGGCAAATAGCATCCCTGGATTACTAGCTTCTGTTTAGTAACAGTAGTAAGTCTTTGCATTTATATAGTTCCTTTCACACAAGGTGTCATGCTTTCTGAAGTGGCTTACAACTGTGAGTACCAACCTCAGGGCAGACTGTCAGGGAACAGGGCATGAACCTCAGACTGGTTGTGTGTTTTATACTTAGATTTCATCAACCAAGTAACAAGTGTGAACTGCACAGGCATTGTAACAGTCTTAATAGGGAGCCAGAGATCGTCCTCTTGAGTACTCTGATCTCTCTTGCCACCCAGGCAAACCTGCCTCTGTGACAGATGGTCCCTTATACCAAAAATCACAACAATATGCAGAATACTCCCAGTCCCAAGGGACTTGTCACTTACCCAGTGTCACTTGTACTCAGATCTCAAGCCGAAGAGAACACCTTTAACCAATTGTGTAACAAACTAACTAAAGGTTTGTTAACTAGGAAAAATAAATAGTTATTTACAAGGTTAAAGCAGGTAACATACACATGCAAATGAGGTACAATCTTAAATTCAAAAGGTAGTAAAGGTTCTATAAGCAACCTTTTATGTCTTTTAGGGCTAGCCAGAGCCAAACAGCTTGGGAATCTCTTGCTTATGTTTAGGAATCTTTGCTCCTCAGAGTCCAGACAGCATAAATATACCAGTTGCTCCTTAGCATGAATTTCTGTTCCCTTTCTCCGGCATTCAAGCTGTGATGGGACATGGGATTGTGCACATATCCTTTTTAGGGGTGTGGGGGAAGCTATCAACAAAGTCTTTTGTCCACAATGGCTTGTCTGATGCCTAAAGACAGTCTTTTGTTGGGAAGAAGATTACACCCCTTGTGGTAAACTAGTATTTCCAACTTGGTAATGATTCTCCCCTGACTGTGGGGGTGGGGGTTACAGTCCTAGCAAACATTTTTATAGTCACAGAGCACACATTTAAATATTATCTTATAACATGGGATACAGATATAAGCAGGATTAATACATGCAGCATCCTACAAACATTCCATAAACTCTAAACACATTCTTATAATTCTAATAACTATTTTAATAATGCTAACACACAGCAGGTAAGCCAGTCTGGTTTCCAGCTGTACATTTATCAGTGTTCAGTGAGGCCTAAGGGCCATCACATGAGGTGGTGCCTGGTCTGCCAGCATCACACAAGGTCTCGACTTGGCCTCACTGACATTAAGTTATTAATCCTTGCAGCATTTCTGTGAGGTAGGTATGATAAGTATTATGTCCATTTTATCGATGGAGAAACTGAGGCACAGACTGGTTTAATGAGTTGCACATAGTGACATAGGGCTTCTGACTCCCAGTCCTGTATTCTAACCATTAGATCAGGGGTTCTCAAACTTCATTGCACTGCGACCCCCTTCTGACAACAAAAATTACTACACGACCCTGGGAAGGGTTGAAGGGGGGACTAAAGCCTGAGCCCACTCAAGCTCTGCCACCCTGGGGGTGCCAAAGCCGAAGACCAAGGGTTTCAGGCCCAGGCAGGAGGCCTATAACCTAATCCCTGCTGCCCAGGGGTAAAGCCCTGAGACTTGGGCTTTGGCCCTGGGCGGTGGGGCTTGGGCTTCTGCCCTGGATCCCAGCAAGTATAAGCCAGCCTGGGCGACCCCATTAAAATGGGCTTACAATCCACTTTGGGGTCCCAATCCACAGTTTGAGAACCGCTGCATATATTATGCTCTGTCAGAAACTACATTTTTCTGTTGAATGCTTTAAATAAGCCACTATCCTTAGACTTTGTCCTACTTGCAACAATATGTCATGCAAAAATACTTGCCTGTTGAAAATAACTACCCACCTGCATAGTCATAAATGCTAGAATGTATAACTTGTCTCCTTGTATTGTACAGTAGTTTCTGAGTACAGTTACAACTTGAAAGCATTTTGAAAACTTCGCCCTTGATTTCTAATAGTGTATGTCAGAAAAGATTAAGCTCTGCCTTTGAACAAGTAATGCCGAGAGACTGAAATGTCAGTAACTATTTCTGATACTTCGTTGCTTTCATCTTTATCTCTTCAGGTTAAATACAAATATCGAGCTGTGCCAAAGTTTGAAACAGTTGCTGGCTAATAAAGAGGTTATGGATTCCCTAGATCCAGAAACCAGGTACTTGTTAATGTTTAACATTTTAGAAGTTAATACACTATAAATTAGTCCCCAAAATGCTTGGAAATATTTCTGTATTGTTAAATTGATGGACAGTTCAGCACCCTTTTGTAAAAGAACTGCAAAACACAATGGGCCAGAAAATCTGAGAGTCCATTTTTATGCAACTTTATTAGCCACTGAGAATTTAACTGTGCAGTAGTCAGGAAGTTCAGTTATGGTTATGAATAGGATGTGCTGGAGTACACATTTTGTGTGTGTGTGTGTATAGCTAAAAGCTATGTTTAGTTTGCCCAGTTTAAATCTTTAGAAAATGAGGAAATGCAAAAGTTAAGTTTCCCATAACAAAATCAACTCAACCAAATTGCATTATTCTATTCTGCTATGATATACATCTAACAACGTAAACAGTAATAAGGTATAAATTTAAGAAGGAAAATAGGGAGTGGAATGTATTTAGGTTCTTACAAATTAAAATGAGTGCATGTCCATTCATCTAGAAGCCTCTGACAGCTTAAATTTTTAAATGTAAATCATATCTGGAGCACACTGGAAAAATATGCCTATGTGTGGTTAGCTTTCTGTTTGTTTTCTTATTACTGGAGTTTCAGATAAAATCAAGCATTTTTATTAATGGCAGTTGTGCATGGTAACATGCTTTCAGTCTGTAGGGTCAAATTGACATGTCAGCATTGTTTACTTTCACTTTATTGTTGTTATAAAGCACCATTTTTAGTACTGCTTATTCATTTCTGCCTGACATATTATTCTTTCTCTCACACAGTAACAATAACTATCCTACTTTTTCCTCCCCAAACAATCAGATGTTCTAGGCTTAAGGGCTTTTTCCTTCATCACTCAAAATAAATGAAATAAGTTAAATTGATGTTTTATAGTCTACACAAATTAATGTTATATGCTTGTTAAAAGACATTTTTCAATGCAAATCACCAAAATATTTACAAGGAAAAACATCCAGTTTCACTGAATAAACAAAGGAATAAACCTACTGGAAGTGTATGTGCACAGAAAAAAATAGTTATAAAAGATGATATAATTAATTATTTTCTATCTTAAATCAAAATATAGTCAGTAAAATGTAACACACTAAGATCCAACTGCTGTGAAATGAGGGGGTCTTTAACAGGGTTTTACTGTATTTTTAGGCAAGTGGCAGAACTTTTTATGTTTGATTTCGAGATCAGTGGTATTCATTTGGATGAAGAAAAGGTAATTATTTTTGTCTATGACATGTGAATAGATGTTTGTCTGACTCTTAAAAACAGATAGCAAAATGCAAGGCATATGTAATGGATTCTGTGCTGAGTTGCCCCCTTTGAATGCTCTGGAAGTCAGTGGAGCTCAGCCTTCACAAAAACCTGTTTGTCATTAACTATCAAATGGCTGGATTTGTAGTGTCCTGTACAACTTCCCAGAGTCTAGTTCAGCCTTCACTCTCCAGACTGCCTTGTTACTCAGTCCTGTACCCCAGGGAGTTACAAGTGGGGACTCTGGACTCTTAGATCTGCCATTTGGGTTCGTATCTGCACAGTATAATTTTTGTGAAAATGGCTAGTTGTTTCAACAGTGTACCTATATAGGGTGGGGAAAACATGCTTCCCGTAATCTGGATAACAGGCTACTCAAATACAGCACTTCAGAAGGAATCAAGCCACATGTCTGTGCCACAACCTAATACTTTTAGTGACTCTAGAGCAGGGATCTCAAACTCAAATCACCAGGAGGGCCACATGAGGACTAGTACGTTGGCCCGAGGGCCGCATCACTGACACCCCCCCACTCCGTTCCCCCCGGCCCTGCCCCCACTCCACCCCTTCCATGAGGACCCACCCCTCGCCTGCCCCTTCCCTGCCCCTGTTCCAACCCCTTCTCCAAATCCCTGCCCCTCCTCTTCTCCACCTCCTCCCCTGAATGTGCTGCTTCCTGCTCCTCCCCCCTTCCTCCTGGAAAGCCCTAAGCGCTGCCAAACAGCTGTTTGGTGGCAGGAAGCGCCTGGAGGTAGGCAGAGGAGCGGGGATGCGCGGCACACTGGGGATGGGGGAGGCGGTGGGTGAGGAGAGCTTGGCAGCCTCAGGAAATAACTTGGGTGGGGAGGGGCCACGGGGAGCTTGGCGGGCCGCAGCAAATAACTCCATGGGTCGCATGTTTGAGACCCCTGCTCTAGAGCCTCTAAGTTGCCCTTAGTGGCCTGTGTCAGTGTCTCTCTCTCTCCCCAGCAAGAGTCCAAGATGGATCTGCCAGAGCTAGCAGTATGTTAGTAATATGCTAGTAATATGTTGGAGATGTTCGGCTCGATGTCCATAAATGTTCCTGGTACTCATGACATATTCCTGCATGAGGAAATCTATATTTTTTGAGTTTCTAGCAGTCGATTTTCAAACAAAGACTCTTTTTTACTAAATTCAGGTGGCCGACTTGCAGTGAAAACACCGAAACACATTGTTTTGGTAGCAGCTTGCAAACTGGAAAACCTTTCCAGAATAATTTTCTTACAATTACTGTGTACTAAGATTAACACCTCTTAAATCAGCGGTGAGGTGGAAAAGTACGACAGGAAGGCATGCAAACATTTAAAGTATGGCTACTATGATACAGAAATATTAATTGACATGTAGAAAAACAAAATTGGCATTTTAAAAAAATTTAATCCCCCCTTGTGACAGGCCCTTAGATATTTTGTATGTGATCGTTTGACCATAGTTACTGTTCCTTGCAAGTCCTGCAATTTTGAGTTCATATTAAGGTGCACTTGGTTAGAGGTATGTTGCCATCCATAGTGAATTTCTGATCTCTTCCTAAGATTTACTTGAATGCCACACACTGCTCTCTCTGCCTACAGAGCATTATTGCTTGGATTCAGCTTCCTGGTACAAATTTAGGTTTGAATCTCTTGGTGTTAAAGAACTTAAGGTTGAGAACACCTCAGCTCATCTGTCCTCCTAGGTATCATGAATGTTTTCTTCAGAATGTCTCTAGAGGTTGGTTTCTCTTTGGATTTTTTCATATATAGTATATTTATCCAGTGATGAGCTGCCAAAATCTTAACAACTGGTTCCCTATAAAAGTTCTGGTTTAAGGGATGTGCCACAGTATGTATTTTTTGTACTAGTAGGGTTACCATACGGCCGTATTTTCCCAGGAGGAATTTTTAAATTTTAAAAATTGCTCCCGGATGGCAATTTAAGAACCAAAAAGTATCACATGTCTGGGGAAAATACAGATGTATGTTAACCCTACGTAAAGTTTTTTTTAAAAAAGAAGGGGCCTGAACTAGAAATGAGCTCCGTTTCACATGTGTGGGTCCCTGCCACTCCCTGGGGGTGTGCTATGGTGACCAGATGTCCCGATTTTATAGGGACAGTCCCGATTTTGGGGTCTTTTTCTTATATAGGCTCCTATTACCCCCCACCCCCGTCCTGATTTTTCACACTTGCTGTCTGGTCACCCTAGAGTGTGCACCTGTGTGGGTCCCAGCTGCTCCCTGCCCCCCTCATTGAAGCAGGTGTGCACGGTTACTGCCCTGGGAACTACAGGGCACCAGTGGACGTGGGGCCAGCTGCAGACAGGGGCGTGGGCCAGGGCTAGCTGGAGGCAGGGGGTGCGGGGCTGGCTGCGGGCAGGGCAAAGGGGTGCGGGGCTGGCTGCGGGCAGGGCAAAGGGGTGCAGGCTTGGCTGGAGGCACGGCAAGGGGGTGCGGGAGTGCGTGCGGCAGGGGCTGGCTGCGGGCAGGGGGTGCGGGGGTGGCTGGAGACAGGGGCTGGCTGCGGGCAGGGGGTGCGGGGGTGGCTGGAGACAGGGGCTGGCTGCAGGCAGGGGGTGCGGGGGTGGCTGGAGAGAGGGGCTGGCTGCAGGTAGGGTGGTGGGTACTCACGGGGAGAGCAGCTCGGAGCAGACCGAGCAGCAGGACGCAGCCCTGGCCCAGCAGAGCAGCCAGGGACCCACCAGGCAGCAGCGGGAGCTCCAGGGCCAGGTGTCGGGGGAGCAGCAGCAGCAACAGGGCTCGTGCCCAGGGCCAGGCGGCAGCCCACATGGCTCCCGCAGCGCAGCGCCCCCAGCGGCCGGAGGAGGAATTACATCACTTCCCGGCCGGAGCCCCTCAAAGCGTCAGCGCCCCCTGCAGGGAAGTGGGTTAACAACCGGTTCTGAAACGGCTTCAAAATTTAACAGCCGGTTCGTGCGAACCGGCTCTAGCTCACCACTGTATTTATCTGTTCAGAATGAGCTATAAACATGTATTGCTGTTGTGGCAGTGGCATTTTTTCACCCCTTTTGAAACATGTATATGGCAGGTTGTCTTTTATAATATCTTATGGCGTCTTATGTAGTTGAGCTTTTCATAGACATCCCTGGGTTTTTTTAATTCTCCAGGAGCAGGGATCTTTTATAATCCATTTCTTTTGGAGATAAGAAAAGTGCCTTCTGAGAACACGAGTTACAGGATGTAACTTATAATAGATCCCCACAGAGTTGGGATATGTTTGCTCTTTTACTTGACAAAGTAACGGACTGTTGGAGGAAGTCATATTCATAGGCTCCACCATGGATCTATTACATCTGCATGCCTTCTGAGAACAAGAATTACAGATAATATTGAATTTTTATCACCTCTTGACTTTTTCATTACTTTAAACTATGGATAATACTTCCAAAAGTCCCCTGTTGTTCACATCAGGATTTAGAATAAGTCAGGCCAGACCATATTATTTATATTTTTTTCTTATGGTCTGGGCAGATAAGAGGTTGTAATGACTATTGTGATCCCTTTTGGATTAGGCTGTATTATAACCCTATAATAGGGCTATGGGTTTTCAAATATTTTCCCAGTGTGGCCCATATCTTGATAGAGAGACCATCTTGTGGAAATCTTCCCTCTTATTCACATCATGTAGCATCCCTTTGGCAGCTACAGAACTTACCTAATGGAAAAGTAATACTAGGGGGAAATATTTAATGTTGCCTAGGTATCTGTAATGTGCTGTAACAGCAGAAAGTGAGGGGATAAAGTCAGTAACGCTGAGTTCTCTGCGTCCTTCAGTGAACTCAGAGGTATCTGTCTGGGGCCACCTGGCCCAGCAACTTGCCCTTCATCCTCCACATGGGAACAATGTTAGCAGCTAGGAGCAGCTTGCATGTGGCAAGCTATGAAAATGCCAGGACTATCAGGGCTCCTTCCCTAAAGTAGTCAGAACCTGCTACATGCAGGAATGCAAGGGGAATTCAGGGCCTTCCAGCCTCTCTGCTCCCAGACCTAGAAAGACACACATGACAATGGGCTCAGCAGTCTTTTCCTCCATTCACATGGATACAGCAGCAACTGGAATGATCTTTCAGAACCTCCTACCATCATAGAATCATAGAATCATAGAATATCAGGGTTGGAAGGGACCCCAGAAGGTCATCTAGTTCAACCCCCTGCTCGAAGCAGGACCAATTCCCAGTTAAATCATCCCAGCCAGGGATCCCATCATCCCATCATTCACTCAGCTCTGAAACTTGGACTCTGACTTTTATTTCTCATTTGTTGTGTTGCCACTGGTTGTTAGCCACACTTCATTTTGCCCCTTTGTATCACTACAACTCTTCAACGGTCCAGTCTCTTTCACATTTCTGCACATTGTGCTTATTTCTCCTTTTCATTCCTCCTGCTAACTGTCCTTTCCCCCTTCTACTTATTTCCCACCTCAATTTTCTTCCCTCTGTCAGATTCCCAACAATCCCTTCCTCTCCCCACATCAACTTATTTGCCCCCTCAAGAAACTGTAAACGTTTGGAACATAAATAAAACAAATATGCTTTTGAAGACGAGGATGTGGGAGTTCCAAGACATGTTTCTGTGGTCATCCTGATCACTTTACCACTATGCTATATTCCTTCCCCCAGGCTTTGTCTGTTTTGTCTATTTAGGGCCAGATCCTACAGACACATTAGTAAAGTTAAGCATGTGTCTAAGTGAGCAGTCCCATTGACAATGGAACTGTTCTCAGTAGTAAAATTAAGTGCATATATAAATGTTTGAAGGATCAAGGCCTTAGATCATAACTGGGCAGGGGCTGTCTTCCTATATGTCTGTACAGCACCTAGCACATTGTGATCTTTGGGCAGTGCCACAATCTACATAATAATAGGAGAGTCAGAACTGTGTGGTGATTAGTTAGCTTCACACAAGCTACCCGTGGTAGCTGCTTCTCTAGCTGATGTCTCCTTGATTTCCTCCATTACTGAAAATCCCTCTTTCCCTTCAGTCATTTACAAAATAATCGGACTATACCAGCATTTTAGAAGTATTTACCAATTGTTTAGCAAAAGTAGTTTAAAACATTCCCAAGTTCTGTTTTTTATAAACTTGTTTTGATTTTTCATGCATTGTTACCGCGGCAGAAATGTGAGAGAGAATTTTTTTTCTTCTGAAAGATAAGCATGTATAATGCATATATGTACGCTACCTGGTTTCATTCTCACTGAAGACAGTAGTATGGCTCCCATTGACTTCAGTTGCACAGGATCAGCCCTAAATTAGGATTTCTTTAACATCATAGGCCTGATTCTAAGTAAGTAAGTGTTTGCTGGGAATAGATCATGATTTGATTTAGTGTGCAAACATATCTTAATACTGTGGAAAACTGAGAGCTACTTGTACTGTATTTTAAGTGAAAATGTATCTTTTGTTTTATTTTTCCTAATTACAGCGTAAAAGAGCAGTGGACCTCAACATCAAAATACTGGATTTATGTAATCAATTTCTTATTGGAGCTCACCTGCCCAACAAGATTGACAAACACATTTTACCAGAACACATTCGCTATAACTTTGCAGTTGAAGGCAATTACATACAAATCACCGGTCTGCATGCAGACTGTTCCGATGATCTGGTATGTATTGTCAAAGTTCTCTATTGCACATCCAATAATACAAAGGTGCATCATAGTGATTTTGACACTAGATGACACAAGTGTTCTAACAGCTAAAAGTAGAAAATAGGAACTGAGGGTTAAGATTTTTAATGCTGTCTGTGGGTGCTTTTCTCAAAAGAATTCAGTTAAAGCAAAAGCATTAATAATACCTTTTCAGACTGTTTCATGCACAGCTGTTAATATTCATCAGGGTAAACTAAGGAGAATAGCTGAACCCATGTTACCAAGACTATTTTTAAACACACAAAATCTTACACCCATTCTTTACTGAATTTCCCTGATAGCATCTTTATAAGATGGCCCTTCAGGTTGCTTATAAATTGGAAGGCAATTTGGACATTTTAAAACCTGCCTGGAATGGCTCCCATTTTTCTGGGTGTGGGTACAAACCTGAGTTTCAGGAAACTGTCACAACACTTTAGATCATTCAGTTTATGTAGTTAAGTAATTGCTCATAAGGCAGAAAATGGTTTTTAAACATGTTACCTTTGTCGTTTTTTACACAAATAAGTTCTGTTCTTCAAGTTCTTTTTGTATTTTTCTAGGACCGGTGTAGAATTCAGTTTCATGAGAAAAATTCACACCCAAGTATTTTAATAATGATGATTTCATTTAGTTGTTATTCAGCAATGTTGCCATCCAAATTGAAGTTTAGGGTTATTTTTTGCTTTTTCTCATATTAATTTTGCATCAGACACTTAAAAATGTGGAGGATAATATGATAGGGTGGAACAAGGCTTGTTTAAATAGTCTCCTCCTTCATAAATAAAATCTACATATGGTGAAATATTGTTTTGTGTTCCACCAGTTGATACATATACCTGATGATGTTGGATGATCTTGTCAAGGGTTGTAAGAAGATCACAACTAATAAGAGGGAAAGCAGGCAGGCTGTCCTTATCCCTTTTTCTAATGGGTAATAGGAGGATATCATTATTTTTCTTTTTTAGATAGATTTTATATAAAGGGTTGCTTAACCTGAAAGCATTGTGGCTGTGATACCTGGCCTTTCATTAGTTTGGGAGGAACTGAACTGTTTCTTTTTTGACTTATGCTATTATGAGACCATTTCTTTTCTTCTGATGTTAGGTACGAGAAGCTGCTTATAAGATTTTTCTTTACCCAAATGCTGAGCAACTGCACTGCTTAGAGGAACTGCTTACCAGCAGAAACCATCTGGCACAGTTAGTTGGCTATAATACCTTTGCCCACAGAGCTCTTCAGGGAACAATGGCCAGAACTCCAGGTAAAGTACGTGTATGTTCAGAAATGATAAGATGTGACTTGTGTCAGGCATGAGGATAACTGTAGATAGTTTAACTTGTCAGCTGTTAATACAACACAGTTGTTGCACTGGAGAGTCTTATTGCAGTCATCTGAAATATTTGTATTTTTCAATAAGAGATAATATTAATTTGAACAGTCACTGTAATCTACACAATTCACTACTCCATGTTCATGGCTTAGGTAACTAAAAGCCATGATTATCACATCTGATTTTTTTATATGCTACCTTGATATACATGTACAATTTCTGACCTGTGTGTCATCATTTCAGTAGATAAGTTAAAACCAGGCTTGCTCTAGGAAGGCGAAGTTGTTTGCTTCTTGATGTGAACTAATATGTTTAACTGACGTCAGCATTTTGTTTTGTAATTTGCCTTCATTTCATATTTCCAGAGAAGGTAATGCAATTTCTTGAGACGCTTTCTGACAGATTGTTTCAACGGTGAGTCTATTTTTCATTTACTTATTTAAAAAATCCCATTTTAATTTGAAGAAAATAGGTTTTTTGATGCAAGACAAGACTCCAGTTACCAATAATTTGAGCATTTAAAAAATTCCTCTAAGGTTATTACTGAAATATTAGCTTCCCTCACATCTTGATTAAAATATTACCTTTCTTATATTGAATTAGACACCATGACGTAAAGGTTAACAAACGTATATATTGTCATACTGCCACGTGTGGTGGGAAATTAGAAGTAGGAAATAAGTCATTCTCCAGATTTTTTTGAGTGTAGTCCACAGTTCTGGTGTGACTCCTACTGTAAAAGGAGATTACAGAGTGCATAAGAGTGAAAACAAAAACGCTAGGGAGCCCAGGTAGCCTCGCAGGGACCCACCAGTTAAGCACTAAAGCAGTAGGCCTCCCCTCCATATGCCCTACATCCATTATCACCCCTGATTTTCCCCACACAAAGCTACTCATCCTACCCCACCCCCTATGGTTCCTCCAGTGCAAAAAGCATCATCATCATGCAGAGTGGAGTGGTGGCTGAGCACGAATATGGGGTCGGGGGGAGATGGGAGAGCAGGATTGTTTGGGAGAGAATAAGAGGGAAAAGTAGGACCTGAGAGTACCTGGAGTGGGCAGAGCAGAGTGGAGAGTAGCTCCACTGTGATGACCTGCCTGTGGTTTTTCAGAGCACAGACCAACTCTGACACACCATAGGCTCTTGGTAGTAGTGGAGCATGCATTTATACTATATGTTACAGACAGTAAAACATCAGTTGCCATTATACTGTACTATATTGGCTAAAAAACCCTTTAATTAAAACTTTAAGGGTGAAATTCTGTTTTACAGAACTCTAAAAGATTTTGAAATGATGGAAGGGATGAAGATGAAACTAAATCCCCAAAATTCAGTAAGTTATATAGTGCATTTATTTTCTTTTGGTTTTATATAATATGAACTAGCCTGACATCGGATGGGGAAAATAATTTCAGTCTTTACAATTGTAATATGAGCTGCATGTTGATAGATACTTGCTCTTTTGGTTTCAGATAGTTTTGGTTTTAAATAGCTGTTTCTAGTATTAAAACCGACCATCAGCTATTGGTTTTAACAGAATGATGCATACAATAACCAAAAACCAAGGTGGAAAATGTAATGGCTGGTTTTGAGCATGTAAAACATTGTTTTCAATTTTTAAAATATGGCCCTTAATTTTTTCAAAAGTGTGCATTCCCGATTTTCCTGGCATCGTGCCTGATCCTTCCACGCACACACCCTGATTTTGCACGTGAATAGGTTTTTCTTTACACGTCCACTTTTGAAAATCTGGCTCATAATCCCTAGTTTAGGGTTTATGAATTTGGAGTCAGATGCTTTAGATTACGTTTTAAAGTGCTGCGACTACAGAAGTGATAAACATTCTGAGTTATGTAAAGAAAGTGAGATCTTTGTCTTTGATTTACTTAGTTTTCATTGCGGTAATTACAAGTTGAAATCTTATGTTTCAGAAATTGATGCCTTGGGATCATCCCTATTACAGTGGTGTCCTGCGTGCTGAAAGGTAAGTTCCTTAAGTATGTGCTAGCAGTGTAAATGTGAGAGAGTGTTCATTCCAAGCCCTTGCAACAGCGGTAATGGAATCCATAAATATACACAGAATTTCTTTCTATAAGGCAGTGCTTTAATATGATAAAAATCACCAGGATCAGTAGGGGCAGTTGATCAAAGCTATTCTTCACTACAGCTGCAATGCCTGTCAGTGTTTCTGTCTATTCCCTTTCCTTTTTTGTTTGTAAAGCCAAATATCAAACCTCTTTGGGGATATGAGATAATAACCAGTTTCAGAACCGATAAAGATTTCTTACTCAACTTAACGTTGTTTGTTATTCCTTAACTTAATGCAATAGTGTAAAAAAATCATAATGGCCATTGAATGCAAAGTCTGCATCCACTTTTCCTTTGCATGGGGGAAACAGGTATAGCTGAATTGATTTTGCTCCAAGCCTCAGGAAAAGGGGTCAGAAATCTGAGCTTCTGACTACCAACTCTCTTCTCTTAGTCTTCTATACCAGCTGCCTCTCAGTGTGAAAGCAATATTTCACAATGCTCCAGTATTCACCTACCAGGAAGCTGAAATTATAATTGTATTCTAGAGGCGATCAGAAATCTGTATATGCATATATTTCCAAATGTCTAAATTCCCCATTTCAGATCTAAGCCAATCTCAAACACAGCCTTTGTGGAAACACATTAGGGCTTCCAATGGATAAGGGTTAATGATCTGTATTAACATAAGAACAACCATACTGGGTCAGACCAATTGTCCATCTAGACCACTATCCTGTCGTCTGACAGTGGCCAATGCCAGGTGCTTCAGAGGGAATGTACACAACAGGCAGTCATTGAATGATCCATCCACTCATGTCCACTCCCAGCTTTGGGCAGTTAGAGGCTTGGGACACCCAGAGTATTGGGTTACGTCGATGGACCTATCCTCCATGAACTTAGCTAATTCTTTTTTAAACCCTCATTATAGTTTTGGCCTTCACAACAAGGAGTTCCACAGGTTGAGTGTGCATTTTGTGAAGAAGTACTTCCTTAGGTTAGTTTTAAACCTGCTGCCTATTAATTTCATTGGATGACCCCTTATTCTTGTGTTATGTGAAGAAGTAAAAAACACTTCTTTATTCACTTTCTCCACACCATTCATGATTTTATAAACCTCTATCATACTCCCCTCCCCCCCCCGGTTGTCTCTTTTCCAAGATGAAAAGTCCCAGTCTTTTTAATCTCTCCTCATATGGAAGCTGTTCCATACCTGTAATCATTTTTGTTGTCCTTCTCTATACCTTTTACAATTCTCATGTATCTTTTTTGAGGTAGGGTGATCAGAACTGTACACAGTATTCAAGGTGTGGGTGTACCATGGCTTTATATAGTGTTAAGATATTTTCTGTCTTACCTATCCATTTCCTAATGGTTCCTAACATTCTGTTAGTTTTTTGGACTGCTGCTGCACACTGAATGGATGTTTTCAGAGAACCACCCACAATGACTCCAAGATATTTCATGAATGGTAACAGCTAATTTAGACCCCACTATTTTATATGTATAGTTGGGATTATGTTTTCCAATGTGCATTAGTTTGCATTTATCAACAGTGAATTTCATCTGCCATTTTGTTGCCAAATCACCCAGTTTTGAGAGAGCTTTTTGTAACTCTTCGCAGTCTACTTTGGACTTAACTATCTTGAGTAGCTTTGTATCTTCTGCCAGTTTTGTCACCTCACTGTTTATTCCTTTTTCCAGCTTATTTATGAATGTGAGGGATGGTGTCCCTAGCCTCTCTTTGTCAGGAGCTGGGAATGAGTGATGTAACGGGTTGTCCCCTCCTGGAGTGCAGTCTGGGAGCCGTGGGCTCTAAACCCCTATCTCCGCAGGCCTCTCTCATGCTGCTTTGTTGGAGATTTACAGCCTGCCTCACCAGGCACTGTTATCACCCAACACAACAGCAGGTGGCACCACACACCCAACTGAGTTACCTGCTTGCTTTACCTAAGCCACTCAAGGTCAGACAGCCAATTTCCCAGCTCCCCCCGCCTTGCATCCCTGCTGGAGTATAAACCCAGAATTGTAACGTCTGACACTGCACAGGGACCTGTGCAAAGTAAGCTCAGTTCGCTCTTTCCTCGATGTGGGAAAGATCAACCTTGTGTTAACCAAGATGAAATTTTCCCCAGACACTTCATTTAAAAAAGCGGTTCTTAGCCTTTACTGCAGCCTGCACCCCTTTGGTTCTCAAAATATGTTCTCACACCCCTTATCAAAAATCATTGAAGTAGGTCAGTTCTTTAAACCTAGATATATTTTTTGTTTGTATATTACAGTAATTGTTAAAAAATGTATAATGTTAATAAATACATAGGTTTGATGAAACAAAGTAGTTGTACTTACGTGCTTATGCTTAATTTGTGTTTTCAATTATTTATCTTCTAAAAAAATCTGGCATGTCTCGCACCCCCAGGGAGTGCATGCACCCCAGGTTAAGAACCACTGATTTAAAGGTGCACTGGTTTAGATAAAATATAAAACAAGTTTATTAACTATAAAAGGATAGATTTTAAGTGATTACAAGTTATAGCAAACAGTTCAAAGCAGATTACCTAGCAAATAAACAAAAACACAAATTAAGTCTAACATAATAGAGGGATAGGATTTGAATTAACAATTTCTCACCCTGACTGATGATACAAGCAGTCCACCAAATTTCCATACACAGGCTAGAAATCCCTTTAGCCTGGGGCCAGGATTTCCCTCAGTTTCATCTTTGTTCCTCAGGTGTTTCCAGGAGTTTTCTTATATGGGGAGTGAGGCCCAGAGATGATGTCACTCCCCACCTGATACAGCTTTTCCATATGGCGGGTATCCTTTGTTTGAAACTCAGTTTCCAGTCCAGTTTGTGGGGAAAAATACAGGTACCAAAATGGAGTTCAGTGTCATTTGGTCTGGTCACATGCCCTTGCTGAGTCATAGCAGCCATTATGCATAGGCTCTCTGGAGCGTTCCCAGGAAGGCTCACCAGGTGGAGATAAGCTTCTCCTAAGGCCTATTGTTTCCCCTAATGGTCCATTACCTTGAATAAGCCATTCACAACCAGCTGTCTAGACTGGAAGCATCTTGCCTAGTGGGTGTCACCAGGTGTAACTACATCTGAAATACAGATACATAGTCAATATTCATAACTTCAAATACAAAAATGATACATGCATACGAATAGGATAATTATATTCAGCACATCATAACTTTTCCATAGACATCTCACAAGACATATCTTGTACAAAATACATCATAATTATGTCATAATCATGTTATCATACAACTATGAAGAATATGGGATGCAGTGTTACAGACAACAGAGGATGGATAATTTGATGATTACCTGTTCTGTTCATTCCCTCTGAAGCACCTGGCTTTGGCCACTGTCGGAAGACAGGATACTGGGCTACATGGACCTTTGGTCTGACCCAGTATGGCCATTCTTATGTTGAACAGCATTGGTCCTAGTACAGATCCCTGGGGGACACCACTATTTACCCCTCTCTCTCCATTTTTGAAAACTGACCATTTATTCCAACTGTTTCGTACCTTTTAACCATGAGAGGATCTTATCTCATGACTGCTTACTTTGCTTACGAGTCTTTGCTGAGGGATCTTGTCAAAGACTTTCTGAAAGTCCAGGTACACTGTATCCACTGGCTCACCCTCGTCCATATGTTTGTTGACCCCCTCCAAGAATTCTAATAGATTGGTGAAGCATGATTTCCCTTTTGCAAAAGCCATGTTGACTCTTTCCCAGCAAATCGTGTTCATTTAGTGTCTGATAATTCTGTTCTTGACTATAATTTCCATGCATTTGCCTGGTACTGAAGTTAGGCTTGCTTGCCTGTAACTGCCAGGATCACCTCTGGAGCATTTTAAAAAAACTGGTGTCACGTTAGCTATCCTCCAGTCATCTAGTGCAGAAGCCTATTTAAATGATAGATTAAATGTTCTTCTGAGTCAAAAAGAAAAGGAGTACTTGTGGCACCTTAGAGACTAACAAATTTATTTTGAGCATAAGCTTTCGTGAGCTACAGCTCACTTCATCGGATGCATTCAGTGGAAAATACAGTGAGGAGATTTATATACATACAGAACATGAAAAAATGGGTGTTACCATACACACTGTAACCAGAGTGATCACTTAAGGTGAGCTATTACCAGCAGGAGAGCCGGGGGGGGGCGGGGGTGGAAGGTAGAAACCTTTTGTAGTGATAATCAAGGTGGGCCATTTCCAGCAGTTGACAAGAACATCTGAGGAACAGTGGGGTTGGGGAGGGGGAATAAACATGGGGAAATAGTTTTACTTTGTGTAATGACCCATCCACTCCCGGTCTTTTTTCAAGCCTAAGTTAATTGTATCCAGTTTACAAATTAATTCCAATTCAGCAGTCTCTCGTTGGAGTCTGGTTTTGAAGTTTTTTTGTTGAAGAATTGCAACTTTTAGGTCTGTAATCGAGTGACCAAAGAGATTGAAGTGTTCTCCAACTGGTTTTTGAATGTTATCATTCTTAACACCTGATTTGTATTCATTTATTCTTTTACGTAGAGACTGTCCAGTTTGCCCAATGTACATGGCAGAGGGGCATCGCTGGCACATGATGGCATATATCACATTGGTAGATGTGCAGGTGAACAAGCCTCTGATAGGTTTCAGAGGAACAGCCGTGTTAGTCTGTATTCGCAAAAAGAAAAGGAGTACTTGTGGCACCTTAGAGACTAACCAATTTATTTGAGCATGAGCTTTCGTGAGCTACAGCTCACTTCATCAGATGTTTACCGTGATAGTGTGGCTGATGTGATTAGGCCCTATGATGGTGTCCCCTGAATAGATATGAGGACACAGTTGGCAACGGGCTTTGTTGCAAGGATAGGTTCCTGGGTTAGTGGTTCTGTTGTGTGGTGTGTGGTTGCTGGTGAGTATTTGCTTCAGGTTGGGGGGCTGTCTGTAGGCAAGGACTGGCCAGTCTCCCAAGATCTGTGAGAGTGATGGGTCGTCCTTCAGGATAGGTTGTAGATCCTTGATGGTGTGTTGGAAAGGTTTTAGTTGGGGGCTGAAGGTGATGGCTAGTGGCGTTCTGTTATTTTCTTTGTTGGGCCTGTCCTGTAGTAGGTGACTTCTGGGTACTCTTCTGGCTTTGTCAATTTGTTTCTTCACTCCAGCAGGTGGGTATTGTAGTTGTAAGAATGCTTGATAGAGATCTTGTAGGTGTTTATCTCTGTCTGAGGGGTTGGAGCAAATGCGGTTGTATCGTAGAGCTTGGCTGTAGACGATGGATCGTGTAGTGTGGTCAGGGTTAAAGCTGGAGGCATGTAGGTAGGAATAGCGGTCAGTAGGTTTCTGGTTTAGGGTGGTGTTTATGTGACCATCGCTGCTTAGCACCGTAGTGTCCAGGAAGTGGATCTCTTGTGTAGACTGGTCCAGGCTGAGGTTGATGGTGGGATGGAAATTGTTGAAATCATGGTGGAATTCCTCAAGGGCTTCTTTTCCATGGGTCCAGATGATGAAGATGTCATCAATGTAGCGCAAGTAGAGTAGGGGCATTAGGGGACGAGAGCTTTGGAAGCGTTGTTCTAAGTCAGCCATAAAAATGTTGGCATACTGTGGGGCCATGTGGGTACCCATAGCAGTGCTGCTGATTTGAAGGTACACATTGTCCCCAAAAGTGAAATAGTTATGGGTGAGGACAAAGTCACAAAGTTCAGCCATCAGGTTTGCTGTGACATTATCGGGGACACTGTTCCTGACGGCTTGTAATCCATCTTTGTGTGGAATGTTGGTGTAGAGGGCTCTCGAGACACCACCGACTTTCTGAGGAAACTACAATCCATCGGTGATCTTCCTGAAAACACCATCCTGGCCATTATGGATGTAGAAGCCCTCTACACCAACATTCCACACAAAGATGTACTACAAGCCGTCAAGAACAGTATTTCCGATATAAGTATTTTTTTTAAATCATGTTTACCAATCTGAGATTTTTTGATGAGGTTGAACAGGTGATAAATGTGGTGATGTTGGTCACAAATAGATTATCCTGCCCATTTTTGTATTGTGAGGAAAAACATTGTTCCTGGTGGACCACTGTAAAATAACTGGTGAGGTTATTGCATTTAGAGCATGGTTGTCATGGTGAAAGGAGTTCTGAAAATAGAACACATCATGACATTGGGGGTGTACATCTGTTTTTGTTTTGTTTGGTTTTAGTTTACTAAGTCTGTTAGTTTGCATCTGGCTCTGTGAGAGTGAACCCCTGCACCCCTCTGGAACCTCATTGATGTTAATGCAGGACTGGGGCCTATGCATGCTTTACTCCCACCATGTGGGGCCAGGAATATTTTCACCAAAATGTTTCTAACGTACATACAGGAGAGTGAAGGAGAGGTATTTCTGGATTAGAGTACTATCGCTGTTTTGCTCAATTGGTTGAATTTTACACAAAAGTAGGTGGCATTTTTCCATCTCCTATAGTTTTCTAGTAAAAATACTGCACTAAGGGCCTGATCAGTTTATAAATACCTACTTGGGGAACAAAAATCTGATAATTGTTTCTTCAATCTACCATATGGTATAACAGGATCCAGTGGCTGGAAGTTGAAGGTAGACAAATTCAGACTGGAAATAAGGCTCAGTTGTTTAACAGTGAATGTAATTAACCATTAGAACAATTTACCAAGGGTTGTGATGGATTCTTCATCACTGACAATTTTTTAATTAAGATTGGATGTGTTACTCAAAGATATGCTGTAGTTCAAACAGGTATTAATTCTGGGAAGTCCTAAAACCTGTGTTATACAGGAGGTCATCAGATTAGATGATCACAATCCTTTTGGTCTTATCTGTGAATCTATGAATCCTCCACTCCCCTGCTCTTTCTGTAGTAACTTTCACGTATGCAATGTTGGTTTAAAATACTGCCAGATCACTGAATAGAGGGTAATGACTAGACAAGGTACCTGGCAATGAGGAATCAGGCCCAAAGAGTGAAATTCACTCGCTCATCACAGAATATTAGTGATTAGACTTTTGCATGGAACTCCAAAACCTTACAGGCTATAAGAAGAAGCACTGCCCTCTTACATGACTCTTCTGCATGTCTTCTCTCTGCTCCAGTGTGTGCCTTACCTCTGTCCCTACCTCACTGAAGGCCCTCTGCAAGACTATGTTGTCTCCAGTTCACTTCAGTAATTTTCTTTGCAGGCCTGACTGCACAGAACCCTCAGGCATCAGTTACGTAGAGGTAGCCCGTCCATCAGAGTTTCACAATGTGTCTGAGCTTTAATCATTTTGTGGCCATTTGTTATGATTGTTCATGTATGATTCAGTCATCAATTATTTCTCCCAGGGTTCTGTACAAGTTCCTCAGTACTTTTTGATAAAATTGTTTTATCCTTTCTGGTGATTTGAAGCATTCTATAATTTGTGCACCCTGTGATATTTTGGATGTTGCAATAGAAAATATTTCCATTTCGGTCTGTGTTCCATATTGGTTGCATAGTTGTTCCTGTTTCAGTTGTAACTGTGCTTTGTCTCCCAGGTTACACCCCCAGTTTATTCTTCCAGATTCTTTATTTAATAAGAGACTGCATTAGCTTTGCATATCTTGCTGTAGTGAGGTAGTCATTTTAGTCTGATAGTACTCTGGCTTGTTGTTTTTCATTTTTTTGTTCTTTCTAGGTTTCAGAGTAGCAGCCATGTTAGTCTGTATTCGCAAAAAGAAAAGGAGTACTTGTGGCACCTTAGAGACTAACCAGTTTATTTGAGCATAAGCTTTCGTGAGGTGAGCTGTAGCTCACGAAAGCTTATGCTCAAATAAATTGGTTAGTCTCTAAGGTGTCACAAGTACTCCTTTTCTTTTTGTTCTTTCCAGTGACTCATTAATATTTTAGGTGTTGGTCTAGTCTTGATTGTTCATTGGAAGGTACACACTGGGATGAATTTCATCCCAAATGACTATTCTTGCTTTTCTGAATAAAATAAATCTTTTGTTAAAGATGATGATATAATCATACTTAACAAAAACATATTTTATATATAGTTATATTGTGATAGCCCCTGGGATCCCCAGTCAGTGTTCAGATATAACAGACGGACAGTCCCTGCGCCAGAGTGCTTACAAGCTGACAACACAGGGTTTTAATTGTTTAGTAAGTATTTTTCCCATTTGTTTGAGTAGGTATGTATTGCTTAACAGCCAGCAAAGGGCAGAAAAAGTGCAAAAATCCCTTTTGAAATAAGTAGATGAAAAAACTGTTTCCTATTATGTTCTTTTAACTTTTGTTTCGGTGTGCAATATATTTTCTTTCACTGTTGTTCGTGTGATTGAGATTTGTAGTCTTGAATAGTATTTTGTATAATTAACATAGTTGTTTAGAAAGAGAAGCTAGCCATGGCCCTAACATGTCTGGAATGGTTAGTAGTCGACTGTGTTGATTCTATTCTGTATATTCTTAGGCTTTGAAAAAACAATTTTTGTGTGGTAAGGAGGAAAACCAAAATATACGAGTCATATACAGTTGTGAGGGGAGGAAAAAGCACCATCAGTGGAAAAAATTCCTGCCTGAGACCCCAAAAAGCGATGGGTTACTCTCAAGCACAAAATTGACTAATTTTTTAGACCCTATTGTGCTATCTTTACTAATGTTGATTAGTACCTTGCTCTTAAACTAGTCCTTTAGGAACTGTTGGAACTAGTGATGGAGTGCAGCACTATTCTTCTTGAGGGTGGCACAATCTGATCCTTAATTAACTTATTCCTTAATCACCTGAGTTTTACTTAAATAGACTAATACTACTTGAATCCATCACTTAAACTAGAAGTGCATTCCCGTTAGTCACCATGCTATCTGTAAAATGACACCTCCTTAAATTCCTCTTAATATATATGTTTTTTCTTTTAATTTCATGTAGTACTAGGGACATTTGTCTAGGTCAATTCAAATGGAACCCCATCCTTAATTTTAAGATGCTTGATAATTAAAATTGGGTGCCTTCATCCTAATTCCTCTACAGAATATCATACATCCTGATCAGTTTGAGCCAGTACATTAATAATAAAACAGAATGCAATTCATATTGTATCAGTTTGCCCCTGTTTTCAGTCATTGTTTCTGCTATTGTCAATAAAGTGAACATAGGTGCTATACCTGTAGACAGAACATAAGGAGGAGCTCCAGACTCACATGCAGAACAAACTCTTCTCACTCCCAGTTCATCTGTCCACAATCAAGTTGTTTTTCTCCACTTTCATCGCGCCTTCTCCCTGGAAACTTGATCCCACTTCAAAAGTGTAGGTCTCCTACCAGGCAGTAACAGGATAGTTTGCTTAATATACTTTAAGAAAATTCATTTTAAAAATAATTGTCTTCAGCTTTAAAAAACATTTATGTCAGTTGAATATTTTTGTACCCATAACTTAAATGGTAAAGATGGTAGAATTAATATAAGTGTATATTTAACAGACATTGGAGGCAGAAGTCTGAAATGTGAATGATCAGTGTCTTATAAGAAGATAGAGTAATTAGATAGAGTAATCAAGAATTATAAGAAGATAGAGTAAACAAGAATTTTGGCAACATAGAGGTGATAAAACAGTGAATGCTAGAACATGCTTCACCTCAGACAAGTAAGAAGTTGTCTAATGTGTATCTCATAAAATATAATATTATGCCTGAGTTTTAGTGCAGAAAAATACACTGTCATCATTTACTTAACATTATGGTATCTCAGCCAGTGCTAATAATAGTAGACGTACTCCCTAGGGGACTGATCCTGCAAAGACTTATGCACATGAATAGTCTCACTGAGTTCTCTTAGGTAATAGGTCATGCCTGGGAGAAAGGCTGAATGTTGACATAACTGCTGCTAGCCCCTGTTTTGTCAGCAAAAGTTACTTACCAGTCTGGGCTGGTTTTTTTGGAGGGGTGCGGGTGGGGACTCTGACTCATTTTTTGAAGTTGTGCTAAATTAAGTTTTTGTCCCAATGTGGACACTGACAAACTTGTATTTCTTTGCCCTCTGTGGTGACCACTATCTGTGGGGCTGTAGGGATAAACCAGGTGGAATTAGGAATGAACATATTAATTGTGAAGGAAGCCTGTTTCCCACTATGGAGAAAGGAGAAGCCAACAAAGTAACTGGAGAAATTTTGTATCCCGGGGAAACTAGCTATATAGATGTTACAAAAATAACATGGCCCTTCCTTCAGCTTTCTTGTGGGCTCTGAAGTCAGGCTTTTTGCTTCATTAGGAGTAAAAAGGATTTCCCACTTTTCCACGGTGGAAGGGAAAATACCAAGGTGCCTGGATATAACTGTGGATGAATCTTTGACTTTTCAGGGAGAGCTAGTAGCTGTCAAAGGCTCTCCCTCAGATTCAGGGAATTACTTCCTGGCAGTCTGAGCTTGGGTGTACAGCAAGCTTCTGTCTCTTGATGAAGCAAGAGAGCAAGAACTGCTCGAGGAGCACTTCAAGATTCATAGATTCATAGATATTTAGGCCAGAAGGGACCATTATGATCATCTAGTCTGACCTCCTGCACAATGCAGGCCACAGAATTTCGCCCACCACTCCTAAAAAAGACCTCACACCTATATCTGTGCTATTGAAGTCCTCAAATTGTAGTTTGAAGACCTCAAGGAGCAGAGAATCCTCCAGCAAGTGACCCGTGCCCCATGCTACAGAGGAAGGCGAAAAACCTCCAGGGCCTTCCAATCTGCCCTGGAGGAAAATTCCTTCCCGACCCCAAATATGGCGATCAGATAAACCCTGAGCATATGGGCAAGATTCATCAGCCAGATACTACAGAAAAGATGTTTCTCCTTTCTTCTGTTTTTTACCATTTTTGGTTTGGGTAGCCTAGGGAGAGTGCTCCCATGCTGAAGAGAATCAGCCACTTTAATTGCTTTTAAATATACCCTAAAAAACATATCGACCACCACCCCAAGTGAAGGAAAATATGGTAAAACTCTCAGTTGTCCTGTTTAGCTAGAAACCTAAAATTCAAGAGTAACATAAGGTTTAAAAAGAAACAGGAAGTCACAGTTCTGCCAAGTTACCACCTCAAGAGACAGAATGTTCCATAACTGTTCAGGCATCCATCACTGCTGGATCTGAGCACCTTTCTTGAGTAGATCATGCTCAAAAATATGACAGAAATCTCATTATCTGCCTCTGTGCATTGAAGTAAAGCATCCAACTCATCAGTGTCTAGATTAGTGGACGTGGCATGTTAGAAAAAATCCTAACAGTTAACTAAAAAAAAAAAGAAAAAAAAGTACTGTGTATTTTCCAGGCAGGATCAGGAGTTTCCAGTAAGTATGCATATTGTGACTTTATCTAGCTAAGTGAAGGAATCAGAAAATACATTCAGGCTTGTTATTCAGTTGCATACTGTATGATGTGCTGTTAGTTGGTAATGATTTTATAAATGTTCTAAAGTATGTCAGTAATGTGACCTGACTTACAAATATTTTGTTATCTGTAAGTTGGTTTCAGTTACTGCTGAGTATTTCCTTGGTCTGATATCTTTGTATTCATAAGAGCTAAAGGAATTAAGGTAATATGAGCAAAGCATAATATATGTTACATACTACGTTAACCAGATTTATAAAAAACAGTAAATTTGCCTTTTGGCAGTCAAGTGTTAACTTATATGGTAAATGGGTCAAAAAGCAGCATCACAACAAACATCAGAATGATCTCTTTATACTGATCTGTTTTTAAAGTTTGTCTTTCATCAGTTCTGAACAATCTTACGTTGTAAGTGAATTAGTTTGCTTTTAGGCTCAATAAACTGAATTAACAAAATATCCTGAAGGTACAATTAACAGAAAAGAGAAAGGGAACATAAAATAGTTGACAAGTTGTGAGGAAGAACACAGGGTAAAAAAAAAAAAAAACCCAAACAATCTCCCCCAAATCACCAACTCTATGAATTCTCTCCCTTCAGGTAAAGGTTTAAATGTCAAAGTTTACTGACAGGTAATGATCACTGGAAGGGGCTTTTCCTTGTCGTGATCTCTCTTCTAGTTAACCCCATGGGCTCCTCTTCCATTTATCTTGTACTTAAGTTGTTTTCCAAATTTCTTTTAATGTTTGTTGGGGCATGAAAATAAGCCCTAGATTTTTTTCTTATTATAACTAGTAACATTATATTTCTGTATTTTATTGATTATGGTGGGGAAAAGAGCCTTGTGAAAAATGAGAAAACGTTCAGATCTTTCAGATGTTACAGTTAATGCCTGCCAATAACAAGCCTCACCAAGCAGCTAATTTGTAATTTACAGGCCTTAATGTTTAGTCCTTAGTGATATTTGAGTAATTATCATAATTCTTTAATGTCCAAGTTTATCAAAAGCATTTTGAATGGAGTAGATGAAAGTCACGGTGCACAAAACAGTCTTAGTTTCTTTCCAAATGTACAGGTTAAATGAAAGCAGTTTTAGAAGCTTGCATTTTATTTAGACTCAGTGAAGTCATACAAGCTTAGAAATAATTATAATGAGACACTCCATTGTTGTTGTTTGTAGCAAGAACTGCCTTTTTGTTTGATGTATGCTGTTCTTGAAGAATAACCCCACCCCATTGTGTCAGTTCATTTTCTTAAATCAGTTAGATGCATGAGTTCTTTTAAAAATAGTACTGAGCCACATACTGTAAGATGTCTGGATTTCTCCCATAGTTCATCTTTTAATCTAAAGCAGGATTTCACATCAAAGAAGCTGTTGTATTTGGTATTTTGCTTTCTTTGAGAGTGTACTGTGACTTCTTGTTGAAAATCTCTACCCTCATCTTCTGCCATTAAGTGCATTTTTAAAATAGTTCAGGTTTTTTGGCATGGATTTTGATACAACATGCAAATTCCTTGGATTTAGAAAACAGAGGGGCAGAGTTTTGGGAATTTGCTAAAAGATGGATAATGAAAGCAAGGAAACTAAGTTCATTATTTACTCTATTGCATCACTGTGTTACAGGATTTCAGAAGAGTACTCTGTTGAATGTACTGTACATGCTGCCATTCCTACAGGCAGAATAGGATAATTTAAGGGGCATCATTACCGTAAAATCATCCTGGTGTCTGAATTTTTTTTCCTAAGGTCACTAATGGAAAGGTTAAAGGAGATGAAAAAACATGCTTGATTTACTTCATGTATTTGACAGCACTTTGTACATAGTCATTTTAATGACAGGTTTCAGAGTAACAGCCGTGTTAGTCTGTCTTTGCAAAAAGAAAAGGAGTACTTGTGGCACCTTAAAGACTAACCAATTTATTTGAGCATGAGCTTTTGTGAGCTACAGCTCACTTCATTAATGGTTTTTACCGAGCAGGTAGTTAGTTAGTTTTACCTGCAGTTCGTTGGGTTTTTACACAGCAATAAGTGAGACAAACATCTTACAATCACATTTTTTCCCTATATTTTAACACCACAAACATTATTAGAGGCACTTGATGGCAAAGTTACTATATGAAACTACTTTTTAATTAATTTTTAAAAATTGACTAAATTTCCAGTTAGTAATGGCCCTTTACAGATGAATAAACCCAGCCTTACCTCATACTTAAAGCCCGTAGTCTTCAGTTTTTACTGATTTTTTTTAACTGAAAATTTCCCAGATTTTACAAAAGCTGTGGTTAATTTTTTTTAATGATTTTTTCACCCAATTTTTGGACTATTAAAGTACATGAAAATACTGATTACGTTAAGGATATCCAATACATTACATTAGATAGATGTGTTTACATTAATAATTAATAAAGTGTAAATGAAAGGTTGTTAAAGTAAAGGCAATGTAGTGGAAGAAACACGTGTGTGTGTGGTGTGTGTGTGTGTATGTACATACTGTTAATGTACAGTTCATAAAAACATAGAAATGTAGGGCTGGAAGGGACCTTGAGAGGTCATCTAGTTCAGCTCATGCTGAGGGAGGCCCAATTAAACCTAGACCATCCATGAAATAAACCATAGCATTAAACTGCTTTTACTTTCAGTACTCTTTCTTTTCTCTGTTGCTTTTTTTCCTGTCCCCCAGTATTAACCCTGGTATTTACCTAGAAAACTGAGTTAGTTTTTGGCACTCCAGTTTTTTAATTTTTGTAATAAACACTGAAAAATTCCTGAGAAATTTTAAACAAAGAATAAACCAAAAACAACTCTAATACGTTCTCAAGCAGCATTTGTCTTACTTTGCCAACCTATAAATTTTGATGATTGTTGATGGAAATATTTTTGTTGGTTTGTGTGTGTACAATTAAATCAATATTTACCTATTTTAAACAATGGAATCCTTCCAAGCCTAATTATAAATGTCTTTATAGGCAGGTTCAGTTCCTGACAAGGCCTCAGAATGAGACCAGCATACCATGATGAGCATTCTAACTAACAGGTCTAGCAGATTGTATATGGGAGGACAGACAAGCAAATGGTAACATCATGAGAAACTGTGTGCGCTTTCGGCTCAATCTCCCCAGTATATGTCCCCTAGTCAGGGCTCGTGTTTAAATAGACACAACTTGACGTTTGTGTTTCCACAGCATGATGAGGGCCTGATCCTGATTAAATATTAACAATGGAGAAGTTAAGTGACTAGGCCAAGGTAACATAACAAGTCTGAGGCATTGTCAGAACTGAATCTTCCTATAAAGGCATTTATAATTAGGCTTGGACAGTACCCTTCCCATCCCTTTCCAGTGAATGGCTGTACCTGTGCTCTGCATAATACAGTGAGTGAAGAGAGGAGCTGTTGTAAAGAGGCCCTAAGCTTTCGGCGTGTCTCTCTAGTTCTGCATGACAGCTGAAGATCTATAGTTAGAGATAATCCTTGTCCCAGGAGCTTACAATCTAATTAGACAAACAAGCTATAAACAAAATGTGAAAGGTACATGTCTTGTTAGCCAGCCTCCTCTTTTAAAAAAAAAATGTACAGTCCACTTGTGCCTCTCTTCCTCTACATTGTCCACGGGCCCAGCCAGCTTATTGACCTCTGTTGACCCAATCTGTCTCCTTTCCACTCTGTCAGCCCCACTACAACACTATCTGCTCTCCTCCCAAATCAGATGCTGCTTGTGTAACTCAGAGTATGTAAAGGCAAGCTGTGTGGTTCCAGCTGCTCTCCTCCCCTCCATCTCAGCATGGGGGTATATTCATGGAGGCGGCTTTTGTCAAAGGGTGGGGGCAGTGGGTCAACATATCCTCTACTGCCTCTACAATCCATGCACTCCAATAGTTCTTCCCTCCCCACCACTAAAAATAGAGAGAGGAAAATTGCCTACATCTTCTGAAACACAGAGATTATACCACTTTTGTGCAGCACTTCGAAATTCTTTGGTAAAAGGTGTTATATGAATATAAAACCATTTATTTGCTTGTGCCTTTTTCAAGCAAACATTTTTTAAACATCATGCTAATATAACATTTCCATTGGGTTTAGGCAATAGCAGAAAACATGCTGTCGTCTTTTGACATAGTTGAAATAATATGCCTGGCAGTACATCCACATGGTCTTATCATAAGGTCTTGCATCATCCCTTTAGAAAGTACTGTGCGATTCTGATCTCTGCATATGTATATGAAATCCCATACCACAAATATTGACTTTATTTTTTATATTTAAAAGGTATGCTTCACAAAGGTATTTATAATGTAACTATCACTGCAGTGTTATGGGTGCTCCGTGTACTTCCAGTACTTTCATATGAATCAAATACAACAAATCGTAATGCTAAGATTCAGACTGTTTCCAAATTTGTCCTATTTACTTGAAAATTCTGCATGCTGTTCTTTCAAAATTGGCACCAATTGAACTGAAATATTATCAGACCAAAAAACAGAACAGCCTTGTCTCTTATTCTATTCTTAATTTCTTTTGGAATACATTATTATAATATCTATAATGATAAGAATCATATACTTCCTGAAAAATCCTTACTTTACATTGTTGTCTTGAACTTTCTCTTGACGGGTGATAAATCGTGTGCTACAAGCATGAGTATAATACAAAAGGGAAATTTGGCTCTCAAAAATTCGATCTTCTAATAGCAATGTAGACTAACAAAATAAGATATCAAAACAATGTGTATAAAGACAGTAAGCTTTTACAGTAATTACTAAGTCTTTCCACATTTTTTTTTAAAAGAACCATTTAAACACAGTTTGCAGTTTGTGCTCAGGTCTGTACTGGAATCAACTCCAGAGAGCGTGGTATAGTAAGACTAACACAGTATCAGTCCTTCTAACTTTCTGAGCTGGGTTAGACAACACAGTAAAAACTCTTGAGTCTGTCTGAGCTTTTTCTACTACAGTTTACAACAATGCTGCTACTGCTGGATCTGCACCTGTTAGGCATTACAGGGCTGAAAAACACTAGCATAGATGCAGTCTATGTACTGTATTTTACACTACTACAAAGCGTACCTGCATGCAGAGACAGCAGCCATTTTGTTCTCACAGTTGCTGTGTGTGCTGTTACAGAAGACACATACACAGCTCTCATGGAGACTTGTGTTCTGTCTTTTTATTTTCTTCAATCTAAAATGACGCCTTTTAGGCTGGAAGCATATGTTTTGCTCTTTGAGACTTATCGCTGATAAAGGAAGAAAGTGTGGGTTTTTTGTTTTTTTTTTTTGGCTGTGTCACACCCCAAAGTGCAGCTGTTACATAAGTGGGGTGAGTTTAAGTGGTGCTGCCTGTCCTGGGGGAAGTAATGACCAGTACAGTACCCTTTCACAGTTCTCAGGTTTTTTTCTGTGTTCTGTTATAGTTAAAATCAGAATGACACACACGCAAGCAGCCAGAAATAAAACCAGGGTGGAGTGTGCAAATATGTGACGTCTTGCAACTAAACATCTCCACTAGCTTCAACAAATGTTGCCATGGTGGTAGCAAAATACTGCTGGAGTGCATTGTAGGGATAATATAAAAGATGGTGGGGAAAAAAACAAACCCACATTGAAATGCTTAGAAGAACGGGTGCAGGGGCTTAGAGCGCTAATCCTGTCCTGCTGTGCACCACTGGCTACTGAAGTTGGTTAGTGAATTGTAACTGCCACTATAAGCAACATGACTCCAAAAGACAGTGCCAAAGTGTGTTTAGTTATACAGCACTGTCTTGTGTGTGTGTTGGGGTGAGGAGGAAGGAGGGGTGAGCAGTTTGGATGAAGAGTAAGTAACTCTTTCACAGCTTAGCTATCGTTAAGCCTTTTGATCTGAGGCTTTAAAATAGCAGGGTTCTAAATGTTTGGTGTTCAGCTGTTATAGTCTGCCTGATGCAAATTTAGACTTCAGTGACTACTGATTGGTCAGGGAGAAATAAAAAAAATGGCATAAGAGGAAAAGCATATAAGATGGAAGGAACAATGATCTTCTAAAGTAAAGGTCACACTAAGAGTGCAGTCATTCACTACTCAGGAGCCCTGGAAGAAATGGCAGATATAAGGGCAGCTGCTCCCTTGGCTCGTGTGTATCAATTGTTGGCAATTTGTATGCAAATCCAGGAAGCAGGGATGTTTTTGTGGTTGAGGGCCATGCAAGAGTCAGGTACTAGGGATTCTATTCCCAGTTTTGCCACAGACTGTGACCTTGGGCAGGTCACTTAAGCCCTAACTTTCTAAAGTGTTCACTAATTTTGAATACCTCAATTTTTGGTGCCCAGTTTGCGACACGTAGGGACTGATTGTCAGGAATTCTGAGCACTAGGTTCCTTAGGTCTCTAAGCCACTTTCATCCACTCTTACAACTTTTTTGCTGTTTTGGCATTTTATTGTGTCTTTGTATTATCCCTATAATGCATGCTACAGTATCTTGCTACTCATCTGGCAACATTTGTTGATGATCGACAAGCTGTTTAGTTCAAATCAGTTTGAGCTAGGGAAAAGCCTATGGAAATCATGTCGTTCATGTGTCAAGTTGGGTACTCAAAATTAAAGACTCAAACTAGTGGATGCTTTTGAAATGTTGTGCCTTCACCTCTGCCTCACTTTCCCTATTTGAAAAATTAGGTTCTTTATTCTCAACAAGGGTGTTTTGAGGTTTAATTCATTTGTAGTTGTGAGATGCTGGGGTAGAGAAGATGAGCACAATAAAGTGCCTATAATAAGTAAATCAAGACCATATTTTACATCTCAGATTATAAAGCTCAACAATATTTTAACTCTTTTTTTTGTTTGTTTTCTTAGGTATAACATCGAGCCCAGTTTGTACTGTCCATTTTTCTCTCTTGGGGCATGTATGGAAGGTCTGAACTTCTTGTTCAATCAGCTCCTAGGAATCTCTCTCTATGCAGAGCAAACTGAGAAAGGAGAGCTCTGGTGTGAAGATGTTCGCAAACTGGTGAGAACTCTAATTCCTAACCGTCTTAAACTCAAGAGAGTATGGTAGAGCTGCTCATGTGGTCTCTTAAGAAAGGAACAGGTTTTTAAAGGTATTTAGGTGCCAAAAGATGCAGATAGGCATCTATCGGGATTTTCAAAATTGCATAGGGTGTCTGTCTCCAATTGAAGTCAATGATAGGTGACTAGTCACTTGTGAAAATGCCTATCTGCATCTGTAGGCGCCTAAAAGTCTTGAAAAATCTCTCTCCAAGTGAAAGATATCAGAGTCAGAATGGCTTGGTCTCTTTTTAGAGAGAAACAGAGAGAAAATTACTTTACCTTTCACATGTATTTTCTGAATTAAACCTGAAATAATGTACATGGTTGTTAACTCATGTAGTGCTACAAATGTGCATTATTACTGTGTAGGTCTTTTACTCTTCCCTTCTTTCCTATTGTGCATGTCTTATTCTACTCAAGCCTTCCTATTGTGGCTTGTTCTGTAGGATGGAAGTAGCAGATGTGGACTACTCTCTATTTGCCATTTTGCTCAGTTCTTTTGTCCTTCCGCTCCCTCCCAGTATTCTCCAGTGGGCATCCTCCCTCCCTCCGTCCCTCCCACTTCCAAGCCCAGCCTCCAGTGAGGACTGCTGCTCCTCAGATCCTCAGTGGTCAATCTACCAGTTCTGGCTACCCTCTCATATCTGTCTCCTTGGTAAATCAACTCCTGCTGTACTTAACTTATATTCTGCAGCCCTGAAGTAGTTGACTTGCCATCTGATCGTAAAAGGTGGGGTGGTTATTTTTATTCTGGTGTGTTAGAGTAATCAGTTTGTATAAACTGCAGAAATTGGTGTAGTTTGAAGGACAAGCTTTGAAATATTTGTACATAAATATTTCAACTGCAGTAGAATAAATTGTTCCTATATTATGTTTTATGTAAAATTATAATGTGCCACAAAATATATGCGGTGTAAACCTTTTCTATTGAATATATCTGAGTGATACTTTCTCACCTTACCCAGCTCAGCAGAAGTTGCACTTCGGAAATTATATCTTTATATCTTTTCCAGGCAGTTGTCCATGAAAATGAGGGTTTACTGGGGTACATCTACTGTGACTTCTTCCAAAGAGCAGACAAACCACATCAGGTAACAACTATGGGCTTACTTCACTGGTGGTTTTGCTTGAGTAAGGACTACAGTATTATGGTCATTTACTATTAATGTTTGTCCAGTAACATACATTTGGACTTAAACTAACTAACAAACAAATTCACACACAACAAGACCACCTCTAAGGCCAAATATAATTCTAGAAAAATCTATAATTTATTTAGATTCTAGGAATACTTAATTCCAAAGTATATATAATTACACTGATTGTTCAACTTCCTTTAAATTTTTTATTTTTGCCAATAACTTCCTTTTAATAAGCCCCATGTATGTTGAACCATCAGATACTACACTGACAGGCACTATGAAAACCCTAAAATAAGCAATGTTTTGAGAGTTAGTGCTTTCTTATTATCTACCTGCTGCTTATGAACAACCAATATTTGAAATCAAATACTCTCTGTACCAAGGCAAAAGTCCAGAATGTCACCTAGATCATTTCTCAAACCTCATGTTAAATAGGTGAAGCTGTCTACAATTTTTAGAAATGCTGACTACCACCGTGGTGCCAGCGTATAAACTACAAAACAGAATACAATAGAACCTCATTAATTGGCATTAATGACTGAGAAATGTTTCGCAAATGACTGAATTTTATGAATTTGTGAGTAAGCAAACACACACACTGTGAAACAGCGTTATTACTTATTTTGTCAAGTGTGGTTTGGTTTTAATTATTTTTGCTAACACGTTGTAACATGTTCTGCAATATATTTTATAAAAGAATGATGTCCCCTCACAAACTCTGCCAATTAATGGGGAGAGACTGTATATGATATATAGTATTTATAGGTCAGCGAAGTTCTGATGTGACAAACTAAATCTTGATGGGAATTTTAGCCTTTTGGATATTTACTCCTTAGATGGCTTAAACTTAAACATGCCGCTTTTAGAAAATAAAATTTTGTTCAAGATGTTAAAGCTATTGCAATATTTTGTTTTTATCTTTATGAAATAAACTAATCTTTTTACATTATTATAATCTCAAGTAAAAATATAGTAAACAGATGGAAAAATATAATGAAGACTGGCTCAAATTCTGCGATGTTACATTGCAGTAACTCTATTGAAGTTAATGGGATTGCATTGGTGTAACTGAGAGCAGAATAGGACTCTTAATGTTAAGACATTCAGCATTTATTTAATACTGTTAATATGACAACAGTATCTATATAGCATGGCTTTTTCTGATTGGTTATTTTATCTTCAAAGGACTGTCACTTTACAATTCGTGGAGGCAGGTTAAGGGAAGATGGAGAATACCAGCTCCCTGTTGTTGTTCTTATGCTGAGTCTGCCCCATTCGACTAGGAGTTCACCCACTTTACTAACCCCTGGCATGATGGAGAATCTATTCCATGAAATGGGACATGCAATGCATTCCATGCTGGGACGAACTCGGTACCAACATGTCACTGGTAAGACATCAGGAATAGTGATTTTTGTTATTTTTAAATGTTTGAATGAATAATTTGCACTTGTTAATTTCCTGAAGTAGGGAGTATGTATTTAAATAACTGTAGTGTCTTGAATCTGGTAAACCGGTAGGTAGGTAGCTTAGTTTAGTTTAGCTTCGTTCTTCAAATTGCATTTTAAAATTAAGTGTGCAGCTATGGAGTATGTCCATCTGCAGGGTTTATCTATTTCTTAATCTTCCAAAATATTATATAATTTTATTAGGGTATTACAGATCTTTATATCATAGTGCAGGTTTCAGTGACAAGCCTGTGAAGTCACATTTCCAATTAACCCTCCCCACCTGTTGATTCAATTTATGATCTCTTTTCAGAGTAGCAGCTGTGTTAGTCTGTATTCGCAAAAAGAAAAGGAGTACTTGTGGCACCTTAGAGACTAACAAATTTATTTGAGCATAAGCTTTCGTGAGCTACATTCGATGAAGTGAGCTTAGCTCACGAAAGCTTATGCTCAGATAAATTTGTTAGTCTCTAAGGTGCCACAAGTAGTCCTTTTCTTTTTATGATCTCTATTCACCAATTTACTGTCTTGACTCTGTTAGCACACAGGAAAAGTATAACTTACTTCCAGGTTGCACTTCAAAAGTATAATGCAGCATCATGCAAAGTATCACAATTCAGATGCCTGGCTGCTTGGCTGGAAATATTGGAGATTGAAAAACAGCATGCTCAGTCCTTGGGATAAAAGAAAAGAAGTGCTTGTGGCACCTTAGAGATGAACCAATTTATTTGAGCATAAGCTTTCGTGAGCTACAGCTCACTTCATCGGATGCATTCAATGGAAAATACAGTGAGGAGATTTATATACACACAGAACATGAAAAAATGGGTGTTATCATACACACTGTAAGGAGAGAGATCACTTAAGATGAGCTATTACCAGCGGGGCGGGGGGGGAGAAAACCTTTTGTAGTGATTATCAAGGTGGGCCATTTCCAGCAGTTAACAGGAACGTCTGAGGAACAGTGGGGGAGGAAGAGAATAAACATGGGGAAATAGTTTTACTTTGTGTAATGACCCATCCACTCCCAGTCTCTATTCAAGCCTAAGTTAATTGTATCCAATTTGCAAATTAATTCCAATTCAGCAGTCTCTCCTTGGAGTCTGTTTTTGAAGTCTTTTTGTTGTAATATTGCGACCTTTAGGTCTGTAACTGAGTGACCAGAGAGATTGAAGTGTTCTCCGACTCTTTATGAATGTTATAATTCTTGACATCTGATTTGTGTCCATTTATTCTTTTATGCAGAGACTGTCCAGTTTGACCAATGTACATGGCAGAGGGGCATTGCTGGCACATGATAGCATATACACATTGGTAGATGTGCAGGTGAACGAGCCTCTGATAGTGTGGCTGATGTGATTAGGCCCTATGATGGTGTCCCCTGAATAGATATGTGGACACAGTTGGCAACGGGCTTTGTTGCAAGGATAGGTTCCTGGGTTAGTAGTTCTGTTGTGTAGTGTGTGGTTGCTGGTGAATATTTGCTTCAGGTTGGGGGGCTGTCTATAGGCAAGGACTGGCCAGTCTCCCAAGATTTGTGAGAGTGATGGGTCGTCCTTCAGGATAGGTTCTGGATTCTTGATGATGCATTGGGGGCTGAAGGTGATGGCTAGTGGCATTCTGTTATTTTCTTTGTTGGGCCTGTCCTGTAGTAGGTGACTTCTGGGTACTCTTCTGGCTCTGTCAGTTTGTTTCTTCACTTCAGCAGGTGGGCATTGTAGTTGTAAGAATGCTTGATAGAGATCTTGTAGGTGTTTATCTCTGTCAGAGGGGTTGGAGCAAATGCGGTTGTATCGTAGAGCTTGGCTGTAGACAATGGATCGTGTGGTGTGGTCAGGATGAAAGCTGGAGGCATGTAGGTAGGAATAGCAGTCAGTAGGTTTCTGGTTTAGGGTGGTGTTTATGTGACCATCGCTGCTTAGCACCGTAGTGTCCAGGAAGTGGATCTCTTGTGTAGACTGGTCCAGGCTGAGGTTGATGGTGGGATGGAAATTGTTGAAATCATGATGGAATTCCTCAAGGGCTTCTTTTCCATGGGTCCAGATGATGAAGATGTATATAGCGCAAGTAGAGTAGGGGCATTAGGGGACAAGAGCTGAGGAAGCGTTGTTCAAGAATTATAACATTCATAAACCAGTCGGAGAACACTTCAATCTCTCTGGTCACTCGATTACAGATCTAAAGGTCGCAATATTACAACAAAAAGACTTCAAAAACATACTCCAACGAGTGACTGTTGAATTGGAATTAATTTGCAAACTGGATACAATTAACTTAGGCTTGAATAGAGACTGGGAGTGGATGGGTCATTACACAAAGTAAAACTATTTCCCCATGTTTATTCCCCCGCCCCCCCCCCGACCCCCAACTGTTCCTCAGATGTTCCTGTTAACTGCTGGAAATGGCCCACCTTGATTATCACTACAAAAGGTTTTCTTCCCTCTCCCCACACCCCCCCTCCCCGCTCTCCTGCTGGTAATAGCTCATCTTAAGTGATCACTCTCCTTACAGTATGTATGATAACAACCATTTTTTCATGTTCTGTGTGTATATAAATCTCCTCACTGTATTTTCCACTGAATGCATCCGATGAAGTGAGCTGTAGCTCACGAAAGCTTATGCTCAAATAAATTGGTTTGTCTCTAAGGTGCCACTTGTACTCCTTTTCTTTTTGCGAATACAGACTAACACGGCTGCTACTCTGAAACGAGTCCTTGGGATGGGATCATGGGTAGGGGGAGAACACCTCTTGTTTGTCTCTAGAGACCCCAGTGACTAATGCGTAGAGTGATGTTGACTGGCTTCAAAGGGACATGTATCAAGCTTTAGCCCAGAGGGAGGATTGTCATGATGTACCCTTTGAAGATGATGGGGAAAAATGCAGCTGTTGGACGATCTCACTTTACTCCCCCCCTTAACTATGAACAAGGTTGAAAGGAGCTTTTCCTTGAAAGTTAAGACAAGGACTGTTCTATTTTTCTGATTCAGCTATCACTTTCCTTAATTCAAAGCTTAACAATGCTCTGAAGGACAGAAATTTAGAGTAATCCTTGACCTCAAATTTTCATTTTCCTTTTCCATATCAGTTTGTTGTAAGTCCTGCTTACTCTGGGATGCCGTGAGAATCCCTCCAGCCTCCCAATATTAGTTTGATTTTCAGATTCCCAAATACAAAAAGTGAAATTGGTCCCCTTTCCTGCTAAGGAATCCAACAAACTCTTTCTTGCTGTCCCTTTGATGCTTTCTAGTGGTGTTGCCCAGTGCCCTGCAAGCTCCCCTCTCAACCAGTTCTGTTTGTACTAATAGACTAATTGGTTGATTGAAAGTAAATTGAGCTCAGCTTGCACCCAACATAAAAGTAGGATGATCCTGGGTTGTAAATGATTTAGAAAATTTATTGTGAAAAAACTAGCATCAAAAGGGATTTAAAAAAAAAAAAGAACGCACTTGCAATATGGAAATTCCAAAACCAGGCTGTACATTTTGTTAGTTGGTAAACAAAACAAATTGGTAATTTATCAACGTGGAATTTAGTGGGTCCTCTTATCACAAACAAATGAACGTGAATGAACGCACAGCCTACCAAGTCACATATCAGCAGACATACACAAAAGGGGATAGTGCACATGAGAAAAAAAGAGAGCTCCTTTTTCATTTTCAAACCATGGCACTCAGCATCAGTGTAGTGGATGGCAGCTGGCAAGCTGTGTGGCCCTGCTCTTATCTTTGGCAAACAGGTCAGAGTCCTGGTTTTGTCCAAGCTGGTTGGCACATTATATGCTGCATTTAATATTTGCAAACAGTCCAGAAAGTTCTTTTACGTGGCTGTGTCAGCTGACTTGAGCTTGTGGGGCTAAAACTTGCAGTGTAGATGTTCCCACTCGGTCTCGAGCCCAGGCTCTGAGACCTCCTTCCCTAGTCACGTTCCAGAGCCTGGGCTCCAGCCTGAGCCTGAATATCTGCACTGCACTTTTTAGCCCCACAGACCAAGCCCCACAAGCTGACCTGAGCCCTGTGACTCAGCTCCATGGTTTTTTACTGCAATGTAGACATGCCCTAATACACACACAGTGAAGTTTGAGGTTGGAATTGATATTTGCTTAAAGAGGTTTTTTTTCAGGGAAGGAGATAGCTTAACATTGGGGTCAGGAAGGAAATAAAATAACTGAGCACTTGCTATTCCTGACTCACATTTATGTTGCAGCTATATATATATATATATATATATATATACACACACAGCTTTGGTTCAGTGATGTCTCATTTCTTCTAGTACCTTTCAATGTTGCTGTACAGTGCTGATAACACAGAGCTAGAGTGAAGGTGATCAGGGGAAGAGGGAGAGGATTTGGGGGTTGTGCTTTTTAAAACACCATTGTGTGACTGCAAATAATTACTTCCTCAAATTTATTTAGAACATGTTTTAAACCTGCAAAAATGCTTTCACCTGATGATTGCAATGTAAAGAAAGGCTAATATAAAATAAAGATACGTGAGCTCAGCAAACAGATGGGGAGATAAGAACAATGATTGTGAGTGGGATTAATGCAGAGTTTGATTTACATTGTGACTGGATTTAGGTTTAGGACAATTCAGAAGATTTGGTGTTTTATGTAGGGCCAGACTGGCTGCAGTTTGGTTTCCTTTAGCAAGGTGTGGACCACATTTTTATAAAGTGCCTCACCCAACTGTTCAGATGTTTTTTACTTTGTGATTTATAGTCAAATGTGTAGGATAATAATTGAGTTTTTCTGCCAATATGTACAGTAATGGTATAGAAATAAAATATTGATTTAAGGAATGAAAGAATAGTACAGTTCACTAGAAGTCCAAACTAAATGCTAACGAGCTCTTGGAAAGATAGAATTATGTCTGCTAATGTAAATAGCTGTATACTCATATTCTCAATCTTTTACTCTCCAAGGGACCAGATGTCCTACTGATTTTGCTGAAGTTCCCTCTATCCTGATGGAGTATTTTGCAAGTGACTATCGAGTGGTTAATCAGTTTGCAAGGCATTATCAGACTGGCCAGGTAGGAAAAATGAACATACAGACTATTTAAAATATTATAAGCAGATTTGTTAAATGAATTAACTTTTTCAGTTGTCATTTATAAAGAAGTGTTAAGACAACAATAAATTCTAGGTAACATTAACCTTATATTATATTTTAATTTATATCTAATGGTTGAGAAAAGAATTGTTTTCCTTCCCCAGATTAAGAAGCACACCATGTATAAAAGTACAATAAGTAAGCTACTCTGTGAACCAAACAAAGTGAAAAACAGCATGTAATGTCTTTAATATTATTTTTGCTCAGACTTTATACAGTGTTAAATCATATTGTCACAAAATCGTGGAAAATAATGGGGGATCAACAGTATGGGGCATTTCTGCTTCCAGAGCAGGATTGTTCCCATAGGGTACTATAGTGCTTTAACTAGTTTTAAACACTTCAAGTTATTGAGGTTGCACTGCTTCACGTAAGAGACGACACCCCCCGCCCCCTCCAACCCCCCGCCCGGAAACGTAACTTAAGTGTGCCTTTTCTTAGTTATATCCCAGTAATCCTGGCTGGCCTTGTACCACTCTATCCAATTCCTTCCCTCTTTTGTGTTTATACTTTACAAGGGCTTACAGACGGTGCTCAGATTTTCCCTGGGTTCAGATTTTTAGAAGCAAGTTCCGTTTTTGCAGTTGCTCCTGCAGACACAAATTATAGTAGCTGTCTGACTGTCTGCACCCACAAACTGGTAGCTAGTCATGTAACTATGGTATTTGCATATGCAGTACACAGCAGGTGCAACATTGTTCCTGCCAAAATTGAGGCTTAGTTGAGACTTATCTGAAAATCTGGCCCTTACTCAGTGTTCACAGCCTTCACTTCTGACTCGGGCACCTTCGCGCTTTCTCCCACCTGTCCCCATACTTGAGGGAAAAACTCTGCTAAAGTCCATAAAATCCCTGTCCTCTTGCACATCCCTTCTTAAGATTTACCTGTAAAATCCTGCCATCTGAGAGTGGCTAGGCTGATGGCAAGATGAGACTACCAGTTTATATGCAAAGCTTCCTCATTTTGTTGTCATCTTGTCCTCACATCTCTCTCTCTCTCCTCCCCGTTTCCCCACCTCTTTTACCCGTTTCTTCCTTCTGTTGAGTCTTGTAATATTACTTGACTGTGAACTCTCTGGGGCAGGAATATTTTTTGTTTTTGTTGTTAATTTCAATGTACAGTGCCTAATATAGTGGGGCCCTTATGCTGGGTTGGGGCTTCGAGGAGCCGCGGAAATACAAATAATAGTAATAATAATAATCTGTATGTATACAGTTCTTTTAGTCTTGTCTCTAATTAAGTCCCTTAATAATTTCGCTGTTGTTCTGGGAATTGTCTTAATTTTGCCTAAATCTTTAATGTAATTCTTTTTACCGGGGCCGTAGTGTATGGAACCAGCAGTTCCATGGAAAAGTACTATACCTTGGAGTGTTTTATCTTTGCATTTATGTTTTGAGAACATAACATTTTATATGTTTGTTTCTGGTCATTTTGCCTCTTTTACTTTAGACTAGATACTTTAGATAATGTTGGAAAACTTGGGTATGTGACCTACAGAATGGTAGTATAAGAAAAGTACACTCAGTTTCATGGTGAAAATTAGTAGTAGTAGAAGGGGGTCATTTTAGGGATTTATTAGGAATAATTATTCTGTTGACCAAACCAAACCATATAGTAAGGTCCGTTCAATTCAGTATCTAATGACTTGCTTAGTAAGCCCACTACATGAATGCATTTCCACTTGAAAGTTACCCTAATTACAATAATTGATCTTGAAACATTGCATCTCTTAAATTAGTACGTATTCTGTGTATCAACTAAAGCGGGCTCTTCAGTTCCACAGACTTCAGTGGGTGAAAAGCTCTCACCTCATGAGGCATTTGAAAATCTGCCAGATCACACAAGACAAGTACCTTCTTAACAGTCTGATCCAAAACCCATTGAAGTCCGTGGAAAGAGTGGACTTTGGATCAGTCCCTAAATGTTTTTAAGGTAAAATGTTAGTGCAACAAGCCTACCTGTGTAATATGTTAACTCCTTATTAACAGTCTTTTAATAATTTTTCCAACTGCAAAGATTTAGTTGTCAACCTTGGTAACTAAGTGCAAAATTAGGAGTACTCATTCGGTTCAAAATAAACTTGTTGAATTTACTCCTATTTCATTCTTCCTTAGAGATTTATGAATCAGGATAGGTACAATCCAAACAGTACAAAAGTTTTGGCACATTTATATTGATGAATACATGTTTTCACTATGTTACCACACATAACATTTTCACATTACAGCATGCCTACAGAATCTCATCCCTCATCAGTTTTGGATTCCTGCGTTAAAGCTCACTCAGATGTTGGTTTGTTTTTTGTTTTGTTTTTTTTTGGTTTTTTTTTTTTGGTTTTTTTTTACATAAAGTGATTCTGTGTCAGGCTCGGGCAAGGATCCCTTCACCATGAACAGAGGAAATTAGAAGAAAGCACTGGGTGGGACAGAGTTACCATAGCTGGCTAGCTGTTCGTGCATGGTAACAAAACACAGTTTATATTTGTTAAGCCATTTCAGAGATACTAAGCAAGTGAACAATATAACAGAAATCTGTTTCAGATGCTTTATTAGCCAAGCTCCAGTGTACTCAAGCATTGCAGTGTGTTGCATCCACAGTGGTGATCTGCAATTAATTCCTCAAAGCAGGAGAGTATTACATAACATGAGAAACTTTCAACAGACATCTATAAAGTCATAAACATTCAGGATTATATTTCAGTAGTATGAGAGTAATTGGAAATATTTTGCTGTCTGCTTCTACAGTAACTTTGTGTGGTTAGATAAAATAGCTTGTATAGTAGCTATTAAAATTGAAATTATTGGTGAGACTAGCTCTCTCTCCGTTTTTGCCTTGGGAACTGCACTGTCTAATGCTGTTTACTGGAGGTTCCCATAGCACTCAATAGTATTACGTGCCTTAACAAAGTGGTAAATATCTGGTTTCATATGAGAGAGTCAATCCTGTAAGGTGTTGTGCACCAACAAGTCCTGTTGAAGTTAGTAGGAGTTAAGGGTGCTCAGCACCAGAGTGTTCATCATTTGGTAGGTTTTAACCCATATAACATGTCCTTGAAATAAATATTGAAAACTGATTACTTTCTAGCATTCTCTGGGAAGTTTAAGTGTAGTGTTGCTTAAGTATTCTGAAGTGATCTGATTGCATATGGATTCAGAGCCTGAGCAGATTTGATCTTCAGGGAAAAACATCTGAAAGAGATTTGTGGAACATCATTTACTGCTTTGTGTCTTCAAAATGGTTTAAATCTAAACCATGTTTTGTTGCAACGGCACAGAATTATTGTCTGCCAGGGAGCAATGGAACTGAGTGAATGTTAATGTAGAAATTCAGTTTTGCAAGGAGACAAGACTGGATTAGGCTGTAAGATTAGGAATGGAGCCTGGAGGTACTGTATGGCACGCGAGGTTTTGAACTGCTGTTTTTTATTGCAAAAAGAAAAGGAGGACTTATGGCACCTTAGAGACTAACCAATTTATTTGAGCATAAGCTTTCGTGAGCTACAGCTCACTTCATCCGATGAAGTGAAGTGAGCTACAGATCACTTCATCCGATGAGGTGAGCTGTAGCTCACGAAAGCTTATGCTCAAATAAATAGGTTAGTCTCTAAGGCGCCACAAGTACTCCTTTTCTTTTTGCGAATACAGACTAACACGGCTGTTACTCTGAAACCTGTTTTTTATTGTTAATTTTTAAAATTTAGATAATATTTATAAACCACTATGTAGAATCAAGATAAATCTGCTTTTCCTTTCTTTGTCAGTCTTGAGACATTTAGAAAGCTGATGTAAAAGATTTCAGTGTCTCGGATTTACATATGAATAAATCGTAGAAATTAGGAAAAATGCCTGTTTGTTACTATAGTAGTCATTAGCAGCAACTGCTTTATTTAAGCTTGCTAAGTAGATTCTGTAATAAACCCCTGGTTTCACACACTTATAACTTCACAGAAAATTGACCTTTGGGGCTTCAATTTTCCATGCTTGGTCTCTGCCTGGAGGTGATTTTTTGTGTGGAAAATTTGAGTAAAATTCTCTTCAGCTGTTTGTGTGTTGTGAGCATGAAAACAAAATCCACTGCATCCATTATGAAAATTATTCTAACCACACTCTTGAAAAAAATGGCTATGGCACAAATAGCTGAAGTGTGAAACTTGGCATAGGTATTAGCACCAAATTCTGTTTCTTACGCAAACTAGGCATCTCATTAATTTCACTCTTATGAATAAAGGGACTCTGACTGTGGCCTGCTGCTCCCTATAAAGTCAGTTGTAGTAGGATACAGTCCTGGGCTCACAGTCTTTGTTGAGGATTGGTTTCTGGCTTGTTTTATGGAAAGCAGTTGGTTTTGATTTTTAAAACATATGAACATTTGAAATTAATGAATATATACAGCGGAAAATTATTCTATAGGAACACTCTTAAAGATACATAAGTATTATATACATGTGTGCAGCTGGATAAAGGCCTGATCCCAAATCCACTGAAGTCATGAAAAGACTCCCTTTATCGTCTATGGTTTTGGATTTGTTCACAAGTGAGCACTGATGGGTTTAAAGGAACTTCCAATTTTCACTGGCAAAACTAGCAAAACTGAGTCCAAAAAGCTAGCCAGCCCCAAAGTAATAGTTCTTCGAGTGCTGGTCCCTGTGTGTTTTCCACTGTGGGTCTGCATGCATCCAGAGTCAGAGAATTCTTGCAAGCAGCATCCATTGGTTTGGTATGTGCCATAACTCTCTTTATGCCTCAAACCAAGAACATAAAGGGCGGAGTGGACCAACCACTTCTCCAGTTCCTTCTTATCACCACATGGCCTGGGTCAGAACCTCCAGTGTATGGCGCTGCTGCTTCCTCATAGATATTCTTTGATCTGTAAATATTTCAGAATTGGCCTTACTGCCTTTGTATATAGGTTTTTCTAGTT